ATGGCCGGGGGTAAATGCTGCCCTCAGAAAGCTGAACTTTTTTCTTTTGTTGTTGGGATCTGTTCTTGGGGAGGGTGGAGACTGGGGGAAGCTCAACCTTTTGTCTTCGTCAATAAACTCTCATTTACACAAAACGAAGTTTGTGGTCTGTACTTTGTTCCCAGAACTGACACTCTAGGACACAACACAGCTGGCCAGAGGAGGGAGGGGGCATTAATTAATAACCGCACTGTTAGAACTTTGCTTTTGGCTGCCCTAGCCCTCCCAGGGATTTAGCTGGAAGAAATGAAGATTGGCGCAAAGAAGAACCCTATACGTCCATCTGGGAGGCTCCTGCTAATCAAGCCCCATGTCGCCACCAGCACCAGAGGCATCTTGCCTCAGGCAGCGAGTGCTCTGAGAGCCAGTCCATCTTCCCTGCCAGTCCCCTCCTGGGGCCCCAGGCAGATGGCCCTGGGGGCAGCCAGCCAGCAAGGCCCAGGCAGGGGCAGAAGGAGGGCAGCAGAGCTGCTCGTCAGTTTCCTGCCACCCAGGACGGCTCACTAATCTCTCAATTTATAAAAGCCTCTCAGACCTGGACTCAGGGCCTGCCTGTTCCCAAGTGAATAGAATTAATACTGCTTCAAGGCAGGCTTACGCAAGGAGTTGTCTAGTCACCTGCATTGTGTTGCTGGGGGCACATGACCCAGGTGTTGTCCAGATGGAGGCCCTGCCCCTCGGTCCTGATGAGCAGACGGCCTCTGAAGTCTCCCACAGCCTGAGAGCCAGGAATGAGGCTCAGGGATCCAACCCCAAGCCGCCCTTGCACTAGCCCCTGAACCCCTCTCACCAACAGGGTGAGTGCCGGTGCGGCTGCGTAGTGCTCGGCACTTCGGCGTTCAGAACGGTAACTGCTTTTGTTACTTGGATGTCCAAACATCACGAACCAAGTGCCTTTGGCAGCTGGGAACTTTCCGCTTGTCCCTTATGTTGCTGGGCTACAGTCAGCCCAAGCTGAAATAGGAATAACATTTTGAGGGGAGCGGGGTCAGGGTGGCCTTTGTTGAGGTTCAGGGTCAAAGATAAGAAGAGAGGCCTTACTGAGATCTAATTGGGTTCGGCAGCTAAGAATGTCAGTTTGGGCCAAGAAAATACTTAGGGCAGAGGCTCTTAACTCTTGGGTGCACATTAATATCACCTGAGAGCTTTCAAAAAAGGCTGATGATTCTACTCGGCCACTCTGGGCTGGGGTCCCCTGGAATCTGCATTTAACCTCCCCAGGTGTTTCTAATGTGCCGCTGGGGCTGAGAATCATGCCAGAGGTCGAGAGACTCACCTGTTTGCTGCTGCTTCTACAGTGATGCTCATGTTCTCGTGGCGGTTGGAAAACGGTGAAGCACTTCCACGCACGCAATACCTGCCCATTCTGTGAATTGAGCATTGTCCTTATTTTCCAGGTGAGATGTGGCAGAGCCGTGTCTCCTGACTCCCTGTCTGTGTCCTTAACACCACACTGCAGCTTCCCCCATCGGTCACCGAAGGTTCTCTAGTGCACCCTCACCTCCCTCTGCTCTTGGCCACCAGGCCAACAGCCAACCTTGCTGAGCCCCCAAGACGGTGGTATGTTCAATCTCGAAAAACAGGGCACACCTTCCCAGAGTTCCACCTGAGATTGCACAGTCCTGCTCTGCCCCCAGAATGGTGACTAGGAAATACTGAGATCTCAGGTACGTTGTATCTGAGGCTAGAAAACAGCTGAGGACTCCCAGGTTTGAGCCTTCCTACTCCCACCTCATGCATTGATGCTTTTTCTGATTTTGCTGGGACCCAGATTTCTTTTCCCTGCCACCCCCAGCTCCAGGAGGCAAGAGCCTGTTTATTTTAATACCTGGTGTGGCACTTGGGAAAGATCACACCTCCCCCGTTGTTACCCATTTCTATCTCCTCAACACTAATCCTAGAATCCCAACCAACCCCCAGACATGTTATTAGCAACTAGGATGTTTCTTGAAAAGTTTCCGAGTTGGCTCCAAACTTGCCATCTCGGTTTCTCATTTAGCTTTTGCCCTGCTGTTCTTGATGCTGCCAACAAGGGGAAGGCCAGTTTGGGGGTTGATTCAACCCAGATGGACTTAAATTCCAGAAGTATCCTGCTGAGACAGGACTGCCCCAAAGCTTGGGACTGAGAGAACTCTCACCCTCTGCTCCCACTAGGCTCAGCGTGGGGGCGGGGGGGAGGGGGTGGGGGGGGGTCCGGAGGATGATGTTCAAATCCAGCCTCCGGCTTTCCCTCCCTTATTTCTCTAACTCTCCACTTAGGGTCAGAGGCTCCAGGATCTGGCCAAACAGCCTCTGAGAGCTAGGCGGGGTCCTCAACTGTGATGGAGCTGAAGTGGACTAAGCAGGTTCTGGTCTTTGTCCCTTCTGTCCCATTCTGTGTCTAGGCCTCAGATGCTGCGGGTGGGCCCACGCGGCCGCAGCCGTCAGGCGTTCTCAGCTCAACCGGAGCCATACCAGGCTCAAGGTTGGGCAGAACCAAGGACAGGCCCTCTCACCTTCTCACCAAGGTAATCCTAATGATGGAGGAGAGTGCACAGGCCCCTGGGGTGCACATTCTTAGCCCAAAGTGACTCTCAGCAAACCAAAACGACAAACCTTAAATTCAGCCACTTTTTGCATTTTACGTTAATACTATGGCCGTTTGTGTTTTATATAAAAAGAATGCTTCAAATGACCTACTGCTGAAGGCCAGTATGAGGCCCCATAATCAACGTGTGGCTTTGTGTTCCCCTAGGAGGGCTAAGTTGAGAAGATTCCGAGAAGGTTGGCCCCAAGGTGGGAGTGTGAGCATCGCAGGATTTCTTATTTCTAGTCCAGCTTGGGCTGAAATAGAACCAGGATGGAGGGTTGTGGCCAGGGGGACAGATAGTGCCCTGGACTATTTAATCAAGTTAGGAGGCTCTCGTCGACTCCGTGGTGATCCCACAGGGCCAGTAAATGTGATTTCTCCTCCCAAAATTGGCGCTCCAGGAGCAGCTCTATCCTTCTCAGCCCTGGATTTGCTTCTAGCGGCTGCCCTGGCCCTTCTCCTCATACCCCCTCCCCAACCCCCCAGGAGCTCCCCCAGAATAAATGGAAACCCTTTCCCAAGGTGGTGTTCAAGCTCCTCTAGGAATGGCTGTGTGTCTCTAAAAGAGGCCAGAAAAAATAAAGGCCACACAGTGAGACTGATGACATGCCAGACACTGCGTTATGGACTTCACACTGCATGGCTCATTTATGCTGTGGGGAAAACGGATCACATCTTCATTTTACAAACAAGGCAGTAGAGTTCGGAGAGTTCAAGTGACTTGCCTTCAGTCACATAGTAAGTGGTGGGGCCAGGATTTAAATCCAGATTGTCCAATTCTGAAGCCCAGCTCATAATCACTGTGCTTTCTGTCTGGACAGGAGAGGGAGTGGGCACCATTGGGAAGGTGCCCAAAATGCAGGGCCCAAAGGGAGGAGGAAAACGGTTCTGTGAGGAAGCTGGAGCCCATGGGTACCAGAAAGTCGGGCCGGGCCGGGGGTAGGGGGGGAGATGCTGGGTCCCAGGGGTAAAAACACAGAGATCTTTCAGGACTTCCCCCTCCGCTTCCTCCCCCCTGCCTTGCAGGAGTCTAAAATGTGACTCTGACCAGCTTGCGGCCCTGCTTCAACACCCTGCAATGCCTTCCCAACCACCCAGGCCCAGGTCCAAACTCCTCCCCTGGCGATCAAGGCCTTTGTGCCTTCTTCTAGACCAACCTTGCGGCCTCCGTCTCACTATGCTTCCGGCCCCCTGAGTGCCTGTGTGGTTCCTGGACTCACTTCTCAAACCACCGTCCTTGCTCCCGGCTTCTCTCACCTTCAGGCCCTCCTCTCCCGCAACCTCCCCCACCCTGGCACCCCAAATCCACTCTTTCAAGGCGCCTTCCTTGACAGTCGCCTCCTCTGAAGCCTGCACTGACTCTCTCAATCACCGGTCACTGCCCCTGCCCTCCCCCAGAACCTTGGCTTTGCCACACAGCACATGAGCGCTGCGTGTCTGCTTCTGGTCTCCCCACAGGACTGTGAGCACCCCTGTCCGTGGCTGCCTGGCTCGGGACTCCCAATCTTTGTGTCTCACATTTTGCACTTCAGTAAGACAAGTTACACAGTCTCTCTCAGCCTCCGCTATCTCACCTGGAAAACGGGGTAATTCTACCTTATAGAATTGTTGTGAGGCTTAAGTCTGAGGATGCAGGCAGAGCTCCGCACACTCACACTGTGCGGCACATAGTACACGCTCAGTGAATGTCAGCTACTGATGATGGATGAGGCGAATGACGATTGTTTTAGCTTAAGTACATGGGTGAGTCTGCCCTCACCCCTGACAAATGCTGGTAGCTCCCCGTCTGGAGAGGAGCCGTCTGGGGAGCAGTAGTTTTAGGGTGTGGAGGTCCTCGGTTGGCAGGAGAGAAGCCTTGCTTTGCGTGAGCCTGGTGCACTTTTCTTTCACTGCTGCCTGCAGTTCACCCTTTGCTCAGTCCTCCAGCGGAGTGGAGAAGAGTCTGGAGGCCGTCTCGGGCACACAGTGCGGGGCACGCAGTGGGCAGCCGTCAGTAACTGATCGACTGGACTGCGAGGGTCAGAAGAAAGACCTAGAGAGGGAACCCCGGGTGTATGTGTGTATGTGTGTGGGGGGATAGGGAGTGAAGCAAAAGGCTTTAGGGCCTCTCTGGTCCCTTTCTTCCCCCACCTCCCCCCTCCAGGTTAGAGCTAAAAATATCGCAGGGAGAGTCGGGAGCGGGGTGAAGGTCAAGGCTAGGGATTAAAGAACTCGCCAAGGGCCGCCCCAGAGAATCCGTCAGGCTCAGGGACCCAGCGGAACGCCGCCCGCCCCCCCCCCCCCGCGCTCCCCCCCCCCCCCCGCGCCCCGCGCGAGCGGGCGGCGCGCTCCGGAGGGAGAGCAGCCCGAGGCTCCTGCCCCCTCGGCCGGCCGCCCGCACGCCCCCCCGCGCCCGCCCCGGAGCCCGCCCCGACTGCGCCGCCAGGGGCGCCCCCACCTCCCTCCCCCCGGGCCGGGGAGCCGGGGGGCAGCGCCGGAGCCCGGGGGGAGCGCGGCCCCGCCAGCCGGCCGGCCAGGGCAGGGGGCAGCGAGGACGGCGCCGGGTAAGCGCGGGAGGAGGGGGAGCGGGCGGGCACGGCGGGCAGGTCGGGCCGGGGGCGGCCGGGACGTGGGGGCCGGGGCCGGGAGGGAGGAGGGGGCCGGCGGGCTGGCGGAGAAGCGGCGCGGGGCGGCCACGTGAGAGCTGGAGCGGGGGTGGGGGAGGGGGGGTGGCTGCAAGGTGCTGGAGGCAGAGAGCAGGCTGGGCTCCGGCATCCCCCCAAGTCCTGCCCATCAGGTCATGGGGGCCCCCGACGCCCCCGCCCACCCACTCCCCCATGAACGTGTGCAGACAAACAGCGGGCAGACGTGTGACTAGGCCCACGGGACCACAAAGCTCGGGCCGTCAGGCTGGGGCAGGGACTCAAGTGTCCAGGCCGATGGGAGGGGACAAGAAGCAGACTCTGGCCCCTGTGTGTGTCCCAGGTCTCTTGCCGGGCGCTGTCTGCAGACTCACTGCAGAGCGCAGGCCTTGGGGAGGGAGCGCTGAGGGGCTGGGCCCTGCTTCCCCTGACAGCCCCCTTCCACCCCCACCCAGCCCGGGATGTTGGATTAATAGACACTTAGACCCGGGACCCCTGCCTGGGAAGAGGGAGGGGCCACCATGCACCTCTGAGTCAGGGAGAGAGCCACACTTGGGCCTGGTGAGTTCCAAGAGGCTGGCCCCAGCCTAGGGGCCTCTCTTGCACCCCTCCCTGGCTGCAGCACTGTGCCCCGCTTTTATTTCCCTGCCATTCCCCAGAAAGGACTGGTTTCTGGACAGGAGTGTGGTGTCCAGGATAGTCTGCAGGTAGGGTACATCCTAGATGCCTCTAAGTTGCCACACCCAGAGAGGTGGAGGGGACTCTTCCTGCATTCCTTGCCCTCTCTTCCTCCCCTAGGATGCCCCCTCCCCACTGCTTGTGCCGGTTATGTAATTAACCCAGCTGAAGCTCTCTGCCAAACTGAGAGTGCCCAGGGGTGCCTGAGGGCCGAGGGCCTGGAGGGATTCGTGGGGAGGAGGGACTGGTACTTCCTCCAGTTGGGAGCCTATATAAGTGGATAAGCACCTGTTGGGGAAAAGGATGCTGCATGGGGCAGGAAGGAGACCAGGGTCCTGTCTTAGTTGATAGTTCAACTGGCTATGTGGTCTTCACTTCCCTAAGTCTCTGGTTTTTTGTTTTTATTTTTGTTTTTGCCTTCAGTAAAGTGGGGAGAAGACACACACACACTCTCACACTCACACTCACACACTCTCACTCTCACACTACATGTATGTGAGCAACAGTGGATAGTAACCCATCCTGCGATTGCTAGGAGGTTCCATTGAGATGGTGGAAAACCTTAAATGAATGAAGGACCCCTGTGCATATCAGTGGCCACTGTTTATTGAACACCTACTCTGGGCCAGGCACCAGGCTTTCCATGCACGACCTCACAACACCCTATGAAGTTTCTTGCTCGGAGTTACACATTAGGGGAGTGGTAGGCTGGGCCTCAAACCCTGGTGGGTCTCCTTCCAAAGCCTCCCCTTTATTTACTGTGCTGTATGCACACATACCTAGTGGATTGAGTCCCCTGGAGCGGGACAGACTGAGGGGCATTCAGCTGTGAACTGTGCTTATATGGAGAGAGCACGCATCCACAGAGTGCTGAAGGGCACGGCCCTGCCGGACCCCAGCCAACCCATCTGCCTGGACCCGTTTAGCGGGCACTGGGGTCACCCTTCCTGGCTTTCATCCCCAGACAGCAGGTCTCAGGCACATACCAGTCTCCCCGGTCACTGTCCCCAACAAGGAGAAGGTGCCGAGCTAAGAGATTTCCGTGGGTTATCTCAGAAGTAGGGGCCATTGACCCCACGTTATGTATGTGCAGAGCATGACTCAGATTGGGCAGGTGATTCGCCTACTGACCCACAGCTCAGAAGCATCATAGCATCGTCTAAAGTTGCTGAAACCGAGCAAGCAAGGAGCTGGTGAATCCATAGCGAGGTCCAACCCCGTTGGCCCTTTCCTTGGCTGCTAGCACACCTGCTGTGTGCCAGGCCCTCTGAGCTCGGGGTGGGGGGCGTGGCTGGAGAATTGGACACAGCTTGGCCTGCAGGCATTCACCAGCTAGAATCCCTAAACTTAGAAGTCCTGCTATGTTGTAGAGAGGAGTGGCTGCCATTTTCGGCTGTGTGACTTTGGGCACACTTCTTACTCTCTCTGAGGTGGGATACCTACCCTCAGGGATAAGTACTCACTAAGGATAACCATGTCGGCATGCCAGCAGTGTAAGGGCCCCACAAGCGATCCCCTTCAGCGCCAAGGCGGTCATCTAATCCAGGGGTTCTCAATTGGGGGCATTGGGAAATGTGAGGGACATTTTTGGTCATCATAGTGACTGGAGGCTGCTGTTGGCAGGTGCCTCCTGGCCGCCAGGGATGTAAAACGCCCTGCGGTGTGCAGGCAGTCCTGCCCAGTAAAGAATTCTCTCTCTGCAAAGTGCCAGGAGGGCCTCCACTGAGACCCACTGGCCTAGACTCAGCCCTGAGCACGAGGAGACCGAGACCCCCAGGAATTGCTGTCTTGTCTCGGGCTCTGTGGGAAAGCTGGGATTTGAAACCGAGTCCAGAGTTCTTGCCATCCTGTTCTGCAGCCTGCCTCAGTGTGGGAGTCAGACCTGGCCAAAAGTCAGGTCATGATACAGGACAAGAAAGATTGATTCCCACTGATGCGATGGCAGGAAAAAATGGAGAAGGAAGGATGGAGAGGTTTTCCATAAATGGGATTGGGTTTCTGGGAAAGGGAAGGCATTCCAAGTGGCAGTAACAGCTTCAAAGTCTCCGAGGTGGAAAAGTGTAGGACATATTGGGAGGGCAGGGAGGAAGCCAGCCCACCGAGCCCATCTCTTGTCTCTGCAGTCCAGGTGGAGGCCGCAGAGGGCCCAGGGCAAGCAGGGGCAGCAATGGTTGGTCCTGACGGTGGCTGAGCGCCCAGCCCCTGGAATATGCAGCCCGGGGGAGCCCCAGGCAGTGGCGAGGACGCGGTGGCGGAGTGGGGCGGGAGGCATGGTCTCCACCTACCGGGTGGCCGTGCTGGGGGCGCGAGGCGTGGGCAAGAGTGCCATCGTGCGCCAGTTCCTGTACAACGAGTTCAGCGAGGTCTGCGTGCCCACCACCGCCCGCCGCCTCTACCTGCCTGCTGTTGTCATGAACGGCCATGTGCACGACCTCCAGATCCTCGACTTCCCGCCCATCAGCGCCTTCCCTGTCAACACGCTGCAGGTAAGACGGCCCTCGGCGGGCACCTCGGGGGCAGTGGGGTGGCAGGAGTGGCTGGGCTCCAACCTTCTCTAGGCTTTGACCCTATTGCCAGGCCCCTACCGCTGGCTTTGAGAGCTCCACACTGCCCCATCGGCCACCCCGTGTAGAGCTGCACCAGGAATCCTTTCATTTGTGTGCTGGTTTATTCAACAAATATTTGACGCACGTTTAATGTGGGCCAGGCCCTGTGGTGGGCACCGGGGTAGAATGGTGCCCCGAAAAGGTGTGCGGTTTGCTCTCAAGGAACTCTTCGTCTGTGAGAAGACAAGAGGCAGTTATGATATAGTGCAATAAGTGCCATGACTGGGGGAGATGCGGGGAGCTGAGTCGGCACCAAGGGGAAATCTCACCCACCCAGGGGGATGGGGGGGGGTCACAAGAGGGGATGTCTCAGCTCATAGCTGAGCAGGTCAGGGGCAGTGGAGAGAAAGGCCCAAACACTAGATGCCTATTCATATTCTGGGCTCTGCCTACCATGGCCTCAGGCCCACATTGGCTGTGGAAGGGACAGCAGAAGAAACAGCCAGGACCTGGGAGAGGTGTGTTCTCACAGACCCCCAACCAGGTCTCTTGCCCAAGGGTCTTTTCTCTGAGGGGCTGCTCTGCCCCCTGCCCTCAGGACTGGCCCTCTGGGCCCCCTGCCTACGGGGGAGTCTTGTTCAGATGCCCCCAGGCCCTGGCTTACTGGGCTCCTTTCCCCAGCCTGCAGGGACCAGGCCCCCCTTCCCTCTCTCTACCTCTGGCTTGAGAGGGGTGGGGTGCAGGGGGACGCTGAGCTCCAAGATGTGTCTGCTCAGCTATGGAAGAAGCCCCTGGCCAGAATGTGCAGCGGTTTCTCCAGGAAGGATAGTGGTGGAGGCCGGGGAGGCAGGGGCCATGGCGTGGCCAGTTGTAACTGTGCAGATCCAGCAACCTCTCAAGCGGAGGCTGGGGGCTGGGGAGGGGCTCAGGTTCATCACTGTCTCAGCAATTCGGGGTGGCAGGGCCTTGTGCCAGCCTCAGGGACACTTGTCTCTCCCAACCCTGGTACAGGATGTCAGCACCAAAGACAAAAGCCTGATCTGTGCATCCAGCCCTTGGCAACAGTGAGGTCAGGGCAGTGGATCTGGCATCAGGGCCACCTAGTCCTCTGCAGAGGACTTTAACAGGAGCCTGAGCAGAGTAGGGGCGGGCAGACCTCACTTTACGGCACCTCACAGATACTGCCCGGATCGCGCTCCAGTCCTGCGCCTGGAGCTTTGTTTTGTCACATTTCGTTGTGTACTGATTTTTAATTTTAATTTAATTTCAGTTTTGGAATAGGTAAGACACGATTTAAAAGCCTAAACTTTGTAAAAAGGTACACCCAGAGAAAGCTCCATCCCACCCCTGCCTCCGATTCTTGCCCCACTTTCTACAGCCATTCTCATTGGTTTTCTATTCATACTTCCTTTACACAAATCATTCATTCTTTCTTTACACAAATGAGAAAATGTATTCTTATTCCACTTGTGTTTTGGACTTAACATTATAACCTGGAGATCTTTCCATGTCAGTAGCTAGAAGTCTGTCTTATTCCTTCACGGCCACACTGGATTCCACTGGAGAGAGTCCCATCTTGTTAGACAAGTGGGTTGTTTCCATTCTTTTACTTTTTCAAACAATGCTGCAATGAATAGCCTTGTACGTAGTCTTTTTGACCATGGGGATGTCTATCTGTGAAGTCCCTTCCTAGAAGTGGCTTTGGAGTTTGGAGGGTGTCAGTTTCCCCTCCCCTCCTATGAAGTTGCCCATTTTGTGCTCCTGCGAGGAGAGTACCTGAACACTAGTTTGCCTAACACCTTCCATCAGAGTGTCCTGTCAAACTTGAGGATTTTTGGCAATCTGATCAATGAGATATGATGGCAGCAGTGTGCTTTTTATTTGCATCTCTGATTACTAGTGAAGTGGAGCATCTTTTCATATGTTTCAGGGCCTTTGCATTTCTTTTTCTGCCACGTGTTTGTGCCCTTTGCCCATCATTCTAGTGGATTATTGGTCTTCCTGATTGACCCTGGGTTTTGGACTTTCCAGGATGCCTAAGACTTCACTCCTGGAGCACAGTTGGGGGACTTTGAGCCGAGAAATACTGAGAGGGGACCCTGGAAGCCTCATAGATCAAGTATAAAACCCAAGAATCCTGATGGCCACCATCTGAAGATAAAATGAAAGTCCATTCTCCCCCAATGCCAGATGAGATCCAGCCCAGGAGAGTGGCATTCCCTAGGTCTGAGCCTCAGTTGTTCCTTCTGCAGCCCCTCTCCCATCAGAGAAGGAAGCTGAGGTTAGAGGGTGTATGCAACTCACCAAAGGAATGAGCAGTAAATGCCTGGTTGACACCCAGCTCCTGTGTTCTTAGAACTGGACTCAGTTTCCGTTGCTCCTTCTCTATCTTGACACAGCCCCAAGATGGTCTTTTACAATCTGGAACACTGCATAGAGCTAACTGGAGGAAAGCTGAGCTTTCTTGCTCCCTCCCTTCAATCAGGGGTGAAGGGACAACCCAGCCAATCAGGAGACTTCCTCCTCTCCCTTTTAGGAGCCCCCAGGGAAGAGTGGGTGGGAGGCAGCCTGGACACCCCCTGGAGGGGTAGCATGTTGGGGGGAGGTGGGGCTGTCACCCCAGAAGGCTGCCAGCTGTTCCCTCTCCCTGGCAGAGAGCTGGAAGAGGGTGGAAGCCTCCCTGCCTGTTTGCCATCCCTCTCACTTCCTGCTGATCCCCACTCCTTATGTGGGATAATGGAGGAACCGAGTACACGTAGGGGTCCCAAGCTTCTAGAGGTCACTGTTTCCAGCAGAATGCAGTCTTCCTGGCCTGAGAAGCCAGCTAATGCCTTCCTACAGTTTTAGATTTGTCCTCAGCATCTTTCCCCTGCACCAAAGTTAAAACTCAGCACAAAGAAAAGATGCCACATCATCTCCCTGGGGAAATCCACTGCAGCAACTTCTAAGCCTTTGAGTTGGGAAGTGCGTTTCTGGAGTCAGAGTTAACTCTCCACCGGTCTTTCCCTGTTTATTCCTTCTCTGAGGTGGAGAACCCGCTGTAGTCCTTTACGCCTGGTCTGTGCCCCACCTCAACTCATAAGCGGGCACAGGAGACATGCCTGCACCTTCTTCTCTTCTTTCGCCTGGGCGCTCAAGGGAGAAGACCTTTGTTCCCCTTGTCCTTGATGGCCTCTGCCTTCCCCAACCTCAGGGACCCCTTCTTTCCCCACACTGGCTGCCTTCCACTGCTCCTGCAATTGCCATCAGCTGGCAAGTTAATTAGCTAATTAATCTCTTAAGGAACCTTCTTTTTAGTGCACTCAGCCTTTCCAGGGGCCTGTTCTTTCCTGAGAATTTGCCACAGGCATTCAAGAGTTCCTTCTCCCTGGAGCTGCCCTAGGGCCCCCATTATGCATCCATTCGCAATCTTTTTCTCCTCAGGCCGCCTTCTCAATCCTGAGGGAAGAGTGGAGCAAGCAGAAGGGGCACATCAGGTAGCAATCTAAGGGCAGCTTCACAGGCAGGAGTTGCATTGATCCCAGCATGGACCGGGTGGGGTTCAGGACCATGGAGAGCTCACCCGCCCAAGTAGTGCAATTAAGGAGCCGACACAGTTGGAGGCGCTGAGTGGGGAGGAGGAAGAGGTATATAAAAACAAGGAAGCCCTGGCTCTGGCCCTCTTGGGAGTTCATAGCAGAAGTGGGTGGCTGGGGATGGAAACAGCTCCAGCCAAGGTATAATAAAAGGTTTCTTAGAACACAGGAGATGAAGGGAGTAGTCCCTTGGTTGCAGGAAGGCTTCTTTGAGATGGAGGAGGCATTTGAATGGAGCCTTGGAAGATAGGATTTCAACAGGTACAGCAACTAGCTCAGGACTTGGCTCTAGAGGCACTTAATAAATGTACTTGAACAAAGGATTGGATGGATGGATGGATGGATTGGAGAACAAAATGGGACAAGGCAGACCTCAGCTCTAGGTGTACACAGAACAGTGCAGTGGCCCTGGAGGTCACGCAGTGTGATCTGCCCTGTCCTGGTTTGAGAATGGGGAAACCACAGTACGAAGCTCCTCCATTCGGCCCTGGGCCTGGCCTCCTGGGGATGGGTGAGTGTGGAAGGCTTGGCGTGCAGTGGCAGGTGAGAGTGCTGTCAGTCTATGGCTGGAGATGGCTGAGGGTTAGGGGAGCCCTCCTGGCTGCTCTGACCTTGGCACTGACTTGGGGGTGTTGCAGGAGTGGGCAGACACCTGCTGCAGGGGCCTCCGAAGCGTCCACGCCTACATCCTGGTCTACGACATCTGCTGCTTTGACAGCTTTGAGTACGTCAAGACCATCCGCCAGCAGATCCTAGAGACGAGGTGAGGGGCCAGCGTACAGTCCATTGCCACCTCAGTGGATGTCCCAATGCTAGCCAACTCCCATGAAAAGGGTGCATTGGGGGGACACAGGTGAAGTGCCCTCTAGTTCCCACATATACCCTCAAACACACACTCATGACATTTTGCTGTCCCCATTTCTGTTAATTCATTTTGGGACCCTTACTATGGGGTGGCTTTTCTAGTGCAGCAGTCAAGAGCAGGGGCTCTGGGAACAAGACCCCCAGCTGCAAGACAAAGCCAGTTAACGTGTAAGCCTCATGGTCCTCATCTGTAAAATGGGAATAACAATAGTACCCACCTTTTGGATCAGTTGTGCCAGTTAGAGAATATAAAGGACCTCCAGGGCTTAGCGCTGCACCTGGAATAGACGTGTGATGGGGCCATTACTGACCAGGCTCAGCCTGTCCTCATTGAAGGTCAGTAGCTGTGAGACCGGTGGAGTTATGAGATTCCCCCCTCGCCCCGCAGGGTGATCGGCACCTCTGAGACGCCCATCATCATCGTGGGCAACAAGCGGGACCTGCAGCGCGGACGCGTGATCCCGCGCTGGAACGTGTCACACCTGGTGCGCAAGACCTGGAAGTGCGGCTACGTGGAGTGCTCGGCCAAGTACAACTGGCACATCCTGCTGCTCTTCAGCGAGCTGCTCAAGAGCGTGGGCTGTGCCCGCTGCAAGCACGTGCACGCCGCCCTGCGCTTCCAGGGCGCGCTGCGCCGCAACCGCTGCGCCATCATGTGACGCCGCGCCCGCCCCAAGGGTGTCCGCGGGCTGCCTCCCCGACGGGCCCGGGCGGCTTCCCCACGGGACTGCGGGGCTTGAGCCGGGAGCGGGCGAGAATAGAACTCTGACGGTCCGGGCCTGAAACGCCCCTGCAGCCACGCACTTCCCCGCGAGAGGCAGAGGGCGAGAGGGAGCCTCCCCATAGCCGCCCGGTCCTCCCCTCTCTCCCGCGTTTGTCTTACTGGGACGCCGCCTTTAGTGCTGTAGTTAGTGCAGTACCCGGCCCGGCCCCAAGGGGCGCCACAGCCTGTGGGGATTGGGGGTGAGCGCGAAATGGAGGGTGGGGGTGGGGAGGTGCTGCCTCGGCCGGGCCCCCACCCGTCTTCTCCAGAGAGTGTGTCTGTCATTGCCCCGCGTCGTCTTTTTCCCCGTCCATCTGTTTGCCCGTCCTTAGCTGTCTTATCCACCCTCCTGTCCCCCTTCCTTCCCCCAGCTCCGTTTACAGGGCTCTCATTTCGTCCATCCCCTTGTCGCAGATCCTGGCAGCTTCTTTGTGAGGTCAGCCTTCTGACCTTCAGCACCACTGGCACAGAACAGAGGGATTCGGGTGGCCCAAGGACACAACCGGGGTCCGAGGGTTGAGGTCCCAGATCAGGCACGGGGAGAAGGCTGAGCTCTCCCCCTTCCAGGGAGACCTCCCCGCCCAGCAGCCCCCAGAGACACAACAACCTACCTTCCAGCCTTAATTCAATGGTCCGTCCCTGCCGGGTGCCCCTCATTCCCTTCCTGCCCCCAAGCCAGATCACCCCCGGGATAAAACTTTTTCTTGACAGACTGTGGAGAGGGAATCCCCCGAAGGATAGATTTATTTCCATGATGCTGGGTTCCAGCCCTCTATCCCCTCCTGCTTTGGGTGGCCTTCCAGACTGTGGGATGTTGGGTTTAGGAGGCTGGTGGTGGGCAGGCTGGTGCCCGGGCAGGGGCGGGCGGAGGGAGAGTCAGGTTGTGCCAGTGAAGACTCTGTCTCCCCATCCCACCTCAATCTGATGCCCCAGACTCTGCCTACCTCGACTCTCAGATTACTCTGATTAATCTGGAGAGGGGCAGAGCCAGCAAGAAATTATGGGGACCCCTGTGCTTGGGGGAGATACACCTGCATCCCCACCCCTAGATGGAGGCCTTCAGGATCTACGCCCCCTTGTCCCAACACCCGTAGCCCTATGCCCTTACTCATTCCACCCCATTTTCTCCGGCTGCCTGGCCGGGTTTCTACCTCTCGTCACCGGAGCTGATCACTGTCAGTTTTGTACCGATTTAGAAATAACAAAAATAATGGAGATACTAGGAGTGGCCTGAGGGATTCCTGGGGGACCTGGGGAGTGGGAGAAGTGGTGCGTGTCCCCTGCCCCCGGCCAAGTTTTCCTTGATGCTGAGCCCTCAACCCTGGTCTGGTGGGAGGATAGCAAGGTCTCTTGTTCGAAGAGGGGCGCACTGAACAACCAGCCTCGACCTAGCCAAGCTGTGGCTGTAGACCGGGAAATCAGGTGGCCCAGAGCGGTGATGGAGTTGAGTCTGAGGGAGGGTTGTGGGCGGGGAATTTATCATACAGATCTAGTGTAAGAGGGAATCTGCCATTCTTTCTGCTTCCCCAGCTAATTCCCCCTCCACCCACCGGGGTAGCACAGCCCTACAGTGACTGCCCAGACCTTGGGCCGCCCAGTATTCCTGGGTTATAGTCCCTGCTGTGCTGCATGACTTTGGGCAAGTGACCTACCCTCTCTGAGCCTCCCTCTGAAATAGAGGAGGTGGCTCCCCTTCCCCACACCTTGGAGTGGCTGGGAGGGTAAGGAAGAGGGCCTGCCCCCTTTTTCCCCTGCATCCCTGCCCCTGGTTCACCAGGGGCATGGGGTGAGGGATGGCAGCATCTCACCTGCCCTGTCACCGTCGCTGCCAGCTCTGAGGCACCTGAGGTGGGGGTGGGGGACCCAGGCCTCTGGCTGCCCCTGTGGGAGCCATTGGAATGTATCGCCTGACTGCGCCCCCCCCCCCCCGACTCCTTCCGCTTCACCCCAGGTCTTTGATTTCGATTCCCTCCATTCTGAGTCTCTGTCCTTCTCCCTGCCCTCCCCCCAGGGTTTCCCACCACAGGGTCTGGAAGTGTGTGTGTGACACCCATTGCGCTGTGATTGGAAGTCAGATTAAAAATCAGGGAGTGTTTTCCCTCGTTTCTGTACCAAGGTGTCGGCTCTGTTCCTGATGGTGAAGGGAAGGCCTGCCTGCTGAGCTCTACCATGGAGGGAAGGAGAGGGTGGTGCGGTGGCCCCGAGACCCAAGGTCCAGCTGAACCAGGAGAACTGATGGGAAGAGTTTGGGATTCATCTCTTCTCCACCTACCCTTGAACCCTCCAACTCTTCAAAACCATCCAGAGGGGAAGTGTTTCGTCTCCTCCTGCCACTCTATCCAGAAAGTTTTCGTGCCTGGACTCAATCCTGGTTTCTGCTTCTGTGTCTTCGTCCCGCTTGCCGCCGAACCTCTGTGGCCCCCGTCATAACTTCGTGGGTGTAGATGTGTTAAGAACACTCAACCATCCCTCTTGGCTCTGAGTGATCTCGGTTCCCAAATTCCAGAGCAAAGCTTTGACGTCCTGCGCGTGTCGGGTGGCCCTTGTCTCTGTCCATGGTGCTGACGCACCAGCTGCTTCCAGGAGAGATCGGCCGTCTGGCAAGGTTGGCTGAGCCTCAAGAAAGGAAGCCTCTCTCACCCCCAGCCCCCTCCCCTGCCCCCTCCAGTGGGAGAACATTTGAGGCTACACCTTCGTGCACCACCACAGCCTTAGAGTGAGGGACTCAAAAGCTGGGGACTCAAGGACAGACCCACACATGTTTAATAACTTATGAGTTGTGGAAATGGTGGACATGGCCAGAGGTCAGAGGAAAGGAGTCTGGAGAGCTGTTCTGGGGAGGGCAGTAAGGTACAGGATGGCCCCACCGCCCCTATCCTAACTCTGGAGTCGGAGTGGGAGTGATGGGCTGGCCCTTTGCTCAACTGAGCGGATTGAGTCTGTATTTGTCATCCTACCTCTCCTGGCCAAGGCCTGTACTGAGGTGAGGCACTTTCCCTTCCACTCCTGCAGCTGGGAATCCAATGGATACATGTGCATTCTTTTCACTTCCCTCCTTCCCAAACCCACAGGTGAGGAGATGAGAAGCCCCTCCTCAGACCCAGGACTCCTCAGGTGGGAGTGGAGCTGGGTCAAGCTGCTGAGGCCCCAGACCCTCCAAAGGCTGGAGGCTACTCTCCAGTGGGGCCACTGGCTCTTTCCCCTCTTTTCCTTCCTCCTCCTTCTCCCCAGCCCTGGCTCCATCCACCAGGGCTGCCTCCCCTCCCTTTCTGCCCAGGCCTGCTCTTGTCAGTCTGCCCCTGGGGGGCACCCTGGCTGGACCCAGGCGGAGGTAGGCCAGTGGCTTGGGGATTCGTGAAGGCTGCTTCTCAGGCCTGTGGTCTCTCCGGGGTGGGATCCTGGGCCTCAGCTTCAGCTTGTAGATGGATGGGACTCTCTGGGGCTTCCGGAGTGTTCTCTTGCCCTTGCCAGGACATGCCTTGGCTTTGTCAGTATTGGGGCCTGAGGGCAAAGGTGTAGGGGCCTCCCTGCTGACAGACACTGTAGGGGCTGAGCAGTTCTGCCCTCCTTGAGCTGGGACCTTCCTCATCCTGGTACCCTTGGAACTCAGGTTTGCCTTAGTCCTGGGCCCACTCTCTTGAGCTCCCAGTTTCCCTTTTGGACTTCCTGGGCCTATGGTAACAGCTGGGTTAGGGGAGCCTAGAGGTGCTGCCTTCCAGGCTCTCAGGTCCACTTTAAGGAGTGGTGGGGGGCCCTGAGCCAGTTCTTGGATGACTTTGTCATAAGGACCCCCAGGTGCAGGCCACCGCCCACCCAGGCTGGGGACGTAGACTCCACTACGAGGGATGGCCCCGGACCCTGGCCCCCAGGGGTGGGCACCCCCCACCTCTAACAGCTTCATTTTGGCCAAAATCTCCTCCTCCAGGCTGTGATAGATGCCTTGCTCCTTGCTCCCGCCCAGGGGCAGGGGTGTGTACTGCCCCTCCTGCCCCTGTGGGCCCAGGCCCTGCAGCTCTGGAGACCCTGCTGTCACTGGGATGTCTGGCTTCTGGTCCCCTTGCCTCTCTTCCACAGAGCAGTCCCCATGTCTGGGCCCAGCTAGGTGCCCAGTGACGGCCCTTAATGGGATAGGGTTTCTCCCCACTTCTGTCGTGGAACCTCCACTTGCAGTACCTGGAAAGCTTCTTCCTGGAGTTGGGGGGCGGGCAGGGGGCAGCCAGATGGGGATCTTGCTGGGTCCTTTAACAGGGGATGGAGAACAGGCAGATGCTGGCTCTCTGAGCTGGGAGGAAGCACCCTCGGCTTCACCCCGGGGTGGTTGCCTGGGGCCCATGGGCTTAGCAGGGCTGGAGTAACGAGGCAGGGGAGATGGTGCTCTCGCTGGTGTCCCTTTGGCGGTGGCCTCAGGGGCTTGGAGTCTCTGGGGGGTGGGGGCTCTGGCATGGGTTCCCCAGTTATCTGTCTCCTCATGAACCCAAGATGTGGGAGTCCTTCCCCTGAGGAGTTCTGGTGGGTCTCTGTCCCCCCTTTTCCCCGAGGAGGTGCACCGTGGGTCTCGGGTCCTGTGGGTGGGTGAGGATTGGGGGCTGGGTGGGCTGTCCCCAGCTGGCAGCTGCCTCCAAGATGGGGTCAATGACTTCTCCTGGCACCTGAAAGGGAGAATCATAAGGCCAGCAGGGTCATCTGATCCAGACCCCTGGCTCTGGGGAGGGACGGCCTTTCTCCGGCCAGAACTCAGGGGGCCAGGCTTCACGTTGCATGAAACAGATGCTCCCTCTCCCCCTGTGCCTACCCGAGAGTCCTCCTTATGGCAGACACTGTTTAAGTCTGTGCTCCCTCATCCCCTGTGTAGCAGATTGAAAGAAGCCTGGTGCAGACCCTGGGTTACTTCAGATCCCACAGCTAGAGGCCACCAGTCTTGGGTGGCAGATGAGTCTTAGTGTCTGCTCGGACCTTGAGTAGGTCTGTTCCCTTTATGGGCTTCGGCCTCCTCATCTGTGAAATGGGAGGGCATATGAAGTAACTAGGTGATCCCAAGGGTACTGGATGCTTTTCTGCTTCTGAACACCTGAGGTCACACTCGCTTTGGCAGCACATAGACTAAAATTGAAACAGCTGAGCTCTTTTTGGGGCTCCCTTTATCTTGGGATGAGGTGGCCTCTGAGAATGTGGACTTCAAAGCAGAAAGAAGCCCTGCCCCGTCCCTCCCCTGTACCTCAGGAATGATGCTGTCTCTCTGAGGACCCCTGCCCCTGCTCCTCCGTCACTGCGGGGGCTGGGGGAGGATGAGACGGGGGGCCTCAGCTTTCGGCCTGAAGACGTGTATGTCTTCCAGTCCACAGAGGGCAGTGGGCTCTGGGAGCGGCTGATGGTCATCGTAGGCTGTCGCTTGGAGGGTTCATCCTGTACCCTCACTTCGTGCTGCACCGGTGGAATGGGGGGCTTCAGGAAGCTGCCTGGCTTGTGTGCTAGCAACACAACCCCACAGAGAGAGGAGAGGAGAAAGCGTTAAATTCCTGCTGATGGGGCGCACTGTTCCCCTCCCCCAGCTGCCCCACTCTCCACATCCCACATTAGAGACAGCGGGACCTAGGGTGACAGCGCCAGTGCCAGAATTTCCATAGAGGGGTTTAGGGTATGAAGTCTGGTCAGGGGGCCCAGCTGGGGGACTTGTTTAAAACTGCGTTTGTGTTGAAAGTCCACATCTTTTACTTAGATTGCAGGCTTCATTGGGGTGGCTTGAAGTGCTGGTGGATATTGTGGGAGCGCTAAAGACCCAAGTCGTGCTTGGTGCCACCACTGTGGACATCAGAGCTAGACCTACGCCCTGTCAAGAGGCTGCGGATTCTTTGTGTGTTTGGCGCCATCTTGTGGCTAAAATTGGTATTGCACTATGGCCGCTCAGCTTTCCTCCTAGGGCTGAGAGGGCACCACACCTGTAACCTTCTGTAGTCTCTTCCTTTCCTCCATCCCTGCAAACCTCTTGCCCCTGTAGATCAGACCTACCTCCCGCCTCTGCTTCTGGCCTCCCGACCCAGAGCCACAGGCAGGGGACTCTCAAGGGACTCACAGAGGGATGTGCACCGGCAGGGGTCATGTTTGTCCAGATAATGGCTGAGTGTGTCCCAGCCGCCCCCCACACGCACCATCACGTGGTTCCGGAGGATCTGCAAGGGGCAAAGGTGAGGTGGAGGGCACCCCCTCTTCCTGGACCAGCCTGCAGGCTTCCAGCACGCACTCTCATCCATGTAGACATGCACACGCAAGTACCCCCTGCACACGTGTTTGGTTAGGAGTGTGCATATTTTGCAGCCTGGGTCTCCTCCATGACTGGCATCGGATAACACGTGTTTTTAAGGGTGGAGGCCAGGCTGGCAAACAGAAAGTTGCCCCACAGCGAGCTAAGGGATTTCACAAGCATTGTAGGCTGGCCCCAGCACTCTCTTCTCTCCCTTCACCGTGAAGGGGTCTGCCCCTACCCGTGCTTGTATCAGAAGCAGGGCCCTGGCTTTGCTCTGTCGCATGTGTGTCAAAGAATCCGTGGGAATCTCAGCCCTGCTCCACTCTGCATCACACCGTCTCTCCAGGCTTCCATTTCCTCAGCTGAAAAGTGGGGCCCCGAATCCTACCTCCTTCACAGGGCCATTGGCTCAGAGGCTGGGTGAGGGCCCAGGAAGCTGGCTCTGCCCCCAGGTGTGGTCTGCATCCAAGGAAAGTGCTTGGCCACACCCTTGGGTACAGACCATCCCTGGTGAGGCACGGCCAGGTATGGGGGGTGGTGGGGGTAGTGGGAAGCACATTTCAGACTCAAACTACTGCTCGTTCTGCAGAAGGTACCAAGCCAGGCATGTGCGGCGTGGACTGTGGAGTCCTGAGCCTGGGCCGCACACTGAACACAGACCTGGGTTCTCAGGCCCCTTGCTCTGACCAAGCCTGTGGGAGGAGTGGAGGTGATGGAAATTGGGGGTACCCTTCATACCCCACTTCTGCCTGGGGACACCCTCTAGACTAGGCTCAGGTGGAGGAAATTGGGGGGCGGGTTCTGGCTGCTCTAATGGGAAGAAAGAATAGCTTGCCAACTTTGCCAGGAATCTTCTGGAATTCTCCAAGGGAAAGAAAGAAAGTCCCAAGGCCTGGTAAGTTGGGGTGAATGGTGGCTTCCTGTCCTTGCTCTCAGGCCTGGGCAGGCTCCCATAGAAGGAAACCCTATTTTGCTGAGCCTGTGGTCAGCTGGCCCTTCCACCCTTGCCCTGGGACTTACCCTGATGAAGATGAGGGTGTTGGAGTCCCCCACGCGGTACTTTCCCTCGGACACCTTGACCATGGAGAACTGAACCGGGCATGTGCAGTGGCTCACGAGGCTCTGGACCTGAGGGCAGTGGGCAGTGGGCTCAGCCCTCCCCTCCGCCCAGGTGCCCAGGCTCCCCCGCCACGTGGTCAAGCCCAATGGAGGGCCTGTGTGCCCCCAGAGCCAGCTAGGAGGTATCTGCCGTGGTCAGAGCTGGGGGCTGAGAAGAGAGTAGAGACTTTTAATGACCCAATGAGAACAAGACCTTGAGTGGTCACCTACAGTGTGGGGCCCTCAGTGGTCAGCTGACAGGCAGTGGAATGTAACAGTGAAGGAGGCAGACCTTGGAATCTCACAGGCTTGGGTTGGAGCCTTGCCTCCACCACCTCATAGGCCTTGGGCAAGTTAAGAAACCTCCCTGAGCCCGAATCGGTGGTTGAAATAGGGTTAATTGCAGTAGGAGCTAACTCCTATGGAGCACCCCCTCTGTGCGACTCTGTCCCCAGCACTTCATAGCGCTGGCTTGTTTACTATTCACAGCAGCCATAGAAGGTAGGTACTGTTAGTATTCGCAAGTTACAGATAAGGGAACCGAGGCACAGAGAGGTTAAATAATTTGCCCAAAGTCACACAGTCGCGAAGCAGTAGAACTAAGACTTGAACCCGGGCGTTAGTGATAGTGTCACTGTCTGTGTTCTTAGAAACCGTCCCGCAGGTTAAATGAGAGAGGCGTTAGTGTGGATTTATAATAAAATAGTAAAAAGCTGTTTAGCTGCTACTCTGTGTGAGGGGGGGTTGAGGCTCAGACTGGAACATGACTTCCTCAAAGCCACACGGTGAATTAGTGTCAGGGTGGGGCCTGGAGCTCCGAAGGGGGTGCCTCGAAGTGTGCAGGCGTGGCACGGGCGAGAGGCGGGGCAGCGGGAGGCGGGGCAGCGGGAGGCGGGGCCTCGAGGCTGTGTCCAGAGCACCCTCACCAGCTGGTCCAGGTTGCGGAAGTGGCAGGGCCGGCGCACCGGGGGCTCGGGCGGCGGGGGGTCCGGCGGGGGCAGGGCCAGCTCCTGCCGCAGCTGCTCGTCGATCTCCTCCTCCAGCTGCACGAGGGTGGGCGCCGCCACGCCGAAGCGCCAGGCCCGGCGGCCCAGCTCCAGCAGACACAGCAGCACGTTCTTCACGTTCTTGCGCAGCACCAGGTCCTCCGTCTCGAACATCAGCACCTCTGGCAAGGAGGGGGAGAGGGACAAGGAGGGGCAGGCAGCCTCAGCCCACTGCTGACCTCCCCGAGCCGAGCGGAGCCATCCCTGGACAGAGGTGGCAGGCCTGGGGGTGGTTTGGGTCTCAGGTTCTTGAAGGCAAGCCCGCGCCCAGGAGAGGTCTGGGCAGAATTGCTCAGGCACTGAGTGCAGACAGGGTGGCCCTTCCAACAGGAGAGGTTGGGCGTGGGGAGAGGTGACACAGTCAAGCAGGGGGACCTGGAGCCTGGCGTGGGGACCACGCCAGAGAAGGGTTAACCGGCCTTGCTCTTCTCCCCACTCCGTTTGCCAGGATGGTCCAGGAGCAAGAAGCAGTTTATCTTACTTCCCGCCCACTCCGCTCACCTCCAGTATCCACCAGGCATCTCAGACTCAACCCCCAGCCCAGGATCCCAGTGCAGGATTGAGTTCCGGATCTGGAGCCCAGCTGCCAGCGCTGGAATCCAGACTCTCCCACCCACCAGCTGTGTGACCTTGGGCTGGTCTCTGAGCCTCAGTCTCCTCTTCTGTAGAATGGGGAGGTAGTGTCTATGTCCTGGAGGTGTGGTGGGGATAGCTGTTAAGTGTTTGCAGACAAAGTGTGGCACGTGGTAAGGGCGCAATAAAACACCAGCTTTCATCAGCCCTCCTGTCCTGCTCCTCACTGCCTTGCCACCAGCCAGTAGCCCAGCCAGATCGTTCCCTCTGCCTCACCCCACTGCTCTTGCCTGGAGGATGGCGCGACATCCAGCTTCATCCCGCTGCTGGGTCTAAGGCCAAGGAGATTAGGGATCCTGACATGTCACCTCACTGTCTCACAAGCCCCAGCACGACTGGCCCTCCCTAACGTCCACTTGCCTCCTCCTTATCCTCTCCCCAGCCCTCCCTGGCGGTGCCCTCACCCACCCCAGCTCCTCCCAGTCATTCAAACACAGCGCCTTCTGGAGACCTTTGCCCCTGCTGTCCCCCACCTAGAATCCCCTTTCCCCCAAACTTCTCTTTGTTCCTCAAGACTCAGCCCAGACCTCCTTCCTCTCTGCGGCCTGTCTTGCCCCACCTTTCCACCTCATCAGGTCGCTGTTTCCTGCCTGGTCCCCAGCACGTGCACATCTACTTGGAGCTTTTATCACATTGGGCTGTAACTTATGTATCTGCTCGTCTGTCTTTGTCCACCATGAACTCCTTGGTCTCATTATTTCCTGGTGCCCAGCATGGTGCTCAACACAAAGGAGAGGGACGCTCAATGTATCTTTGTTGAATGAATGAATCATTCAATGAACACATTTGTTTATTGAAAATTTACTATGAGATGGGGAAACTGAGGCACGGAAAGGGAAGGGATGAGCTGGCCCAAGGCAAATCTGGAAGGAGGGCCCCAGTTCCTGACCCACGATGCAGCCTGGCCTCAGAGAGGAGATGGACGCCCAGCAAGATAAGGGTCGGGGCAGGGGGTCCAGGTGCTTACCTTGGATACCCATCTCCTTGCGACACCACTGGATGAAGTTGGAGATGTTGTCCCGGGCCTGGAAGGTGCCCGGCTGGGCGGCCCCATTGTAGGAGACCCCAGCCTGGGGCAGGGGAATCCTCTGGGCTCGGGCAGGTGCCTCAGCCAGGAAGGCCAGAGCAGCCTCGGTGATGGTGTTGGCGTGCCGGCACAGCACCAGGCCGGTCTCCAGCACCTGCAGGAAGTTGGCCGCGTCGATGTCCAGCCCGTAGAGATCCCGAAGCCACTCAGCCAGGTCCTCCTTCATGGCTTCCAGGTACTGCTCGCTGGACTTAAAGGGCCGGATGCTGCGCACGGGAGGCCCCAGGGTCCCAGGCCTCCTCCCATGTACCCCAGGCAGGGACATGGCCTCAGCAGGGGAGGACGTGGGCGCTTCCTCTCTCCCGCTGCTGCGTTTTGCCTCCTGCCCCCTGCTGGGTCTTGGCCAGTTCTCCCTGACTCAGGGGTTCCCCTGCTATCCTCAGACAGCCGGGACTCCGGCCCTGCTACTTGCCGCTGGCTCCAGCTGCCACCAGGCCAGGCCAGGCCCCCGCCCCCCACATTCCTCAGTCCCTGCCTGAACTTTCCCTACTTGGTGGCCCTGCAGAGAGTTCACTCTCCGGCTGCCCAGTCCCCTCAGAGTTCGCCACCTCCCAGGACAGGCGGAGGTGAGGACACTCCTGTGTCCCCCCAGGGCTGGACGGTTCTGGGCTGGCTGCCTCGACTCCCCACCGGCCTGCCAGCCGGCCTCTCCACTCTGCTTTCCCCTCCTCTCCTTGGAGACAGTGACTGCTACAAACACTCCTTGTTAACCCTTCCGGGCAGGCTGGCAGGGCTGCCCTGCAGAGCCCGCCCTGGAGCCGATGGAGCAGAGAAGAGAGGCTGGGGCACTTCTCTCACAGGGCCTGGGGGCTTCTGGGGAATCGGGGAATGCAGGGCCCGGGGGTGCCGTGCCTCTGGGTGCTTAGTGAGCCCTGTAGGATGGGGATGAAACAGAGTGATAGAGTCCAAAGACACGAGTTTAGCCCTGGACGCTTTCCTCAGTCCCTCTGTGACCTTCATAGGCTACCTAGTCTCTCTGTGCCTTAGTTTCCTCAACTGTCAGATGGGAATAAGAATATCTCCCTCTCTGGCGTGTTGTGAAGAATGAAGGAATAACGTACGTGGAAAGCCTCTGACCGTCAGGACACACACGAGTGGGACTGGGTGGGTCCCAGCTCTCACTGACGCTCCCAGCAGCCCTGTCTCTGCCCCAGGAGCCCCACCGTCTCTAGAGAACCTGCTCCATCCCCCACTCAACCCACGTGATTCCTCCAGGGCAGGCTGTCAATCACAGGACCTCACCCCATGGCCACAGCAATGCGTTCATTCAACAGATATTTCTTGAGTTCCTACTATGTGCCAGGCACTATTATAGGCCTGAGGATAGAGCAACAAACGAGGTCCCTGGCTTCATGGAGGCCACTTACATGTCAGGGGGTGATGGAGGACAGATAAATAAATCTGTTGTAAGTCACATGGGGATAAATACCAGGGAGAACAAGAAAGAACTAAAGGAGATGGAGATGCAGATGTGTGTGGAATTTTACATAAGATGGTGAAGGGAGGGGCCGCCCTGGTGGTGCAGCGGTTAGGTGCGAACGTTTGGCTTCAGCGGCCCAGGGTTCACCGGTTTGGATCCCGGGTGTGGACATGGCACTGCCTATCAAGCCATGCTGTGGTATGCATCCCACATATAAAGTAGAGGAAGATGGGCACGGATGTTAGCTCAGGGCCAGTCTTCCTCAGCAAAAAGAGGAGGATTGACAGCAGATGTTAGCTGAGGGCTAATCTTCCTCACACACCCAAAAATGATGGTCAAGGGAGGGCCTCCCTGCTCACTGCTGTGGTGATATCTGAGCAGAGACCTGAGAGAAACGAGGAAGCAAGCCCTGCAGATACCTGGAGGGAGGGTACTTGAGCAGCGGGAACAGCCAATGCAAAAGCCCCAGGCAGAGGCAGGCTTGGCAGGGTCCAGGAATAGCAAAGAGAGGCAGGGTATGAGGTGGAGAGGAAATGGGCTGCTGGATGAGGCAGGGGTCGGCTTTCCCCTTTAGAAGGTAATTTTCTTTCAGTTACCTCCTGAAGGCATCAGAACTATGATTATCATACCCGTTTTATGGATGAGGAGACAAGAAAACAAGCTAGCGGGAGGCCTCAGTCCCTCACTATGTGGACTCCTCCGCAGGGTCGATCGAGTGTCCTCATGACATGGCAGCCGCCTTTCCCCAGCGTGAGACTCTCCTCAACAGAGAGGGCCAGGCGGGAGCCCCCGTGTCTTTTATTGCTCAGCCTCGGAAGCCACACTCTCATTTCCACGAGGTCCTATAGGTTACTCAGCTCTGCCTGATTTCCTGAGGGAGGGACTACATAAGAGCGTGGCTACCACGAGGCAAGGATCGTGGAGAGCCATCCTCGAAGCTGGTTACCCCAGCACAGAGGAGCTGTTTCTTTTTCTTTCTTGCCTCTAGAATCCTCTTTTGTTCAGATAGTAGGCCTTGAAATTAGGGAAGGTGGGCCCAGCCCCAGAAAGAGAATCACGACGGGTCTCAGGCCATCGTGGCAGAGTTAAAACTGCAGTTCCTGCCGAGGTTCCAAGATACAGCAGGTGCAGCAAACCAGGAAAGGAACACGACCATCTGCAGCAGGTGTTGAGGAGTCATCCGGAAACAGGTCACTTGACTCTCAGACGTCTCTCCCACTAGGGCATACAAGAGTTCGGTTGATGCAGACTGGGAGAGGATTGGTATAGAAGATTTATTTAGGGGCTGGCCCGGTGGCATAGTGGTTAAGTTTGTGCACTCTGCTTCGGTGGCCAGGGGTTTGCAGGTTTCGATCCCACTGCTCATCAAGACATGCTGTGTCAGCATCCCACATACAAAATAGAGGAAGATTTGCACAGGTGTTTGCTCAGGACCAATCTTCTTCACCAAAAAAAAAAGAAAAAAAAGAAAATTTAGAGAATATTGCATCTGTGCTGCGTGTCCTGTGGTAGGCTGAATCATGACCCCCAAAGATAGGTGTGTCCCAGACCCCAGAACCAGTGAATGTTACCTTAGATGGCAAAATGGACTTTGCAGATGTGGTTGAGGATCTCGAGATGCTCAAGAAGGTTGAGGAAGGTGATCCGGATTGTCAAAGTGGACCCTAAATGTAATCACAAGTGTGAGGCAGAGGGAGGTTTGACTATAGAAGTAGGAGATGTGCAACCGAAGCAGAGATTGCAGTGATGGGGCCACAAGCCAGGAACTCCGGCAGCCTCCAGGAGTGGGGAGAAGCAAGGAACAGAACCTCCCTTGGAGCCTCTGAAAAGAACCAGCCCTGCCGATACCTTGAGTCTAGTCCTGTAGGGCTCCTTTTGGACTTTTGACCTTCAGAACTGCAACCGAGTAACTGTGTAGTTTTAAGCCACCTCAGCGTGGCTTGATGAGTGGTGCTAGGTCCGTGCCCAGGATCTGAACCAGTGAAACCCTGGGCCACTGAAGCAGAGCACACAAACTTAATCACTCGGCCACAGGGCCAGCCCCTGGCCAGCCAATCTTGACTGACATGGTATTCAAAGTGTAAGAGGCCCCATTCTCTTTATACAAATATAAGATGTTGTTGTAGGTACCCTCACTTGGGTAGCACTTACATACTATCTTATCGGATATTCCTTCTTTATCTTTATTAACAATAAAGATAACTTTATTGCTCAACTAAAATGAACACCACATCTCTGTTATACCTAGTTATTGGAAGTTAATGAGCTATTTATACTATTAATATAAAATTAAAATTTAATAGAAAAAAGTAGACAGGTTGTAGCTTTACTTTCGGTAACTGACTTCATTTTGTTCTGCAGATATGATTTCTGTGAATGGCAGAAAATAATGCTGGAGCTTGCTAATAAAATACGGCTCATTACTTCTGGTTTTAAGTATCTCTTTTGGCTACAGATCCAGCAGATTCCGAGTTCACGCGTTATCAGTGCGGTTTCTCCCCTCTCACGGGGCCTCCCGAGGAAGTGTCTGAGTACAGGAGGCGTAAGTGTGTTCCTGGTGCTACTGGGATTACCTGCTTGCTCTCATGCTTTCTGTGTGGACCGTATTACTACTCTGTGAGGTCAATTTCTAAGGTGCTTTTTTTTTCTCTTGAGGAAGATTAGCCCTGAGCTAACATCTGCCACCAATCCTCCTCTTTTTGCTGAGGAAGACTGGCCCTGAGCTAACATCCGTGCCCATCTTCCTCTACTTTATATGTGGGACGCCTGTCACAGCATGGCCTGAAAAGTGGTACATAGGTCTGCACCCCGGACCTGAACCGGGGAACCCCAGGCCACCAAAGCAGAACATGTGAACTTAACCACTGCACCACCAGGCTGGCCCCTCTAAGTGCTTTTATACAGCATTGTTTGTTACGACAATCCAACTTCTGTGAAGGTCCCACAAAACCCCAAATAGCCCCGAGAAGAGAGAATGAGCTCCCTAAGGATGACAAAGGGCTTCTGGGTAAATTGAAGTGGGGGAGGCAGGAAGAAATGAATGACCAGACCAGGGGAACACCCTATTGTGGTGTCTTGGTCGGATGCTGTCTCAAAGCCACAGCACAAGCTCAGCAGCTTGAATGTGCCTGCCAGGGCATCAACTCCAAGAGATTGCTTATGGTACCAGTGTCCAGGGGTGGCCCCCGGTAGTGGCCTCTTACTGGATTGTTCCTGTGTTGTGATCTTGGCTGTGTTCATGGTAACCAGCCTCCCTTGGTTCCTGTCCAACTGTCAAGTCTTCTGGCCATTCTGTGAGTTCCCACTATTCTTTCTCTATAAATTAGCCAGAGTGAGCTTTTGAATTTTGCAATCAAGAGCCAAGATGGCTATAAGCTCTTCCAGTAAATGTAAGGAGAATGGGTTTGTTGGGACACTATTCTCCACGGGTCTTTCACATTTCTGCATGTCCTGTAAACAGAGGCACTGACTTTTCAATGGAATTTATATAATGAACAACCTTGGAAGACAGAGATAGTGTCTCTTTCTGGAGCAAAAAGCAGGTTTGCTTACTGCCTATTATAAAAGATTCGGGTTCTCTAAGCTCAGCGTTCCTCTTGTAATGCAGACCACTGTTTCTTCAGGTATTCACTGACACCCATCCGTGTGGCACCCATGGGACAGTGGGGCAAGAGGAGTTGACACAAATACGCTATGCCATGCTGCTGTGCCATGAGGAATAAAGTCCTTGTCTCTGATCCAGGAGTCTCATGTTTTTGGCAGCACCCATGAAACTACAGCAGGCTAACTTGCATGCTTGCAAGAAGGGCAAAACTTTAGACCCTTCAGAGTTCTTAGCAGGTTTGCCCCCATTTGACTAGGAGATTCCCAGGGGCTGCTCTGCTCTCTTTGCTCTACATCCGACCAACCTGCCTCAACCAAACTTGGTTCCCCTCCACCCTTAGTCTCGGATGGAGGACCTTATCATTGTTCTCTTTCAGACTGACAGGCTCTCCGTGTCTGGGTTTGCATGCTCTGCCCCTCTGCAGACTCCTGTCTCTGCCCACACCCCACTGTAAGGCCAGGAAAAGAAGTTTTCCCAGGGCTCCATGACTTTATTCCCTCCCCCAGCACAAGCCCCAGCCCCCACACGCACATACACAACATTCAGGAGCTACACCTGGCTCTCGCTTGAGCCCTGCTTCCAATTTGACTTGGCGTCATTTCCTCTGATCCCTGGAGCTAAAGCATTGAGTTGGAAGTGGCTACAGTGGGGAGCAGGCGTGAGGAAGCACAGGGATAGGACAGAAAGGGGAGGAGAGAAAATAATGATACAAATAAACACAATGCTTTGACTGTTTGCTGTGAGCCAGGTAAGATCTGGTACTGGACTACTATCTCTGATTTACAGATGAAGAGAGAGAACATGCTGAAGGTCAGAGAGCTTTTATATTTATGTGGTTGAACTGAGATTTGAACCCAATCTGTTGGGGGCCAAAGCCATCCTCTACTCCCCTTCCCAGGAAGGAAGGTGGGGGACACCTGGGTGTCGAGTGCTTTTGGAGGCTCTAGAAGAGGCAGCTCTTCCAGGGCGGAGCCTATGGGCAGGTGAGGTTCTGGCCCCGCCCCTTGTGAGCCAACAGAGGCCCTAGAGACCAGACCTAGTTCTAGGCTCTGGGAACTCCCTCTCATCCCGGTCCCTGGTCAGGGGAAGAGGGCAGCACAGCCTTGGGAAGGATGGATAAGCACGGTGAGTGGGGCTGGAGGCAGGGTCTCTTGACTCCAGGATGGACCAGCCAGCCCATCACCATGGCAACTCCAGAGTGGAACTCCAGCCTTTTCTCAATTACGCATCTATCTACAAGCCCTCTCCTCTCTTTTTCCTGAATATTCTTGACCTCTGATCCCTCATCTTCACCTGCTGCTGTTCAGACCTTTGTCTTCTCTGGCCTCAACCACTGTAATGTCTCCCAAGTAGGTCTCCCTTTGTCCTGTCCCACAACACAGCCCTTGTCCTAAAACGCAGCTCTGAGAACGTCCCTCCACCAGAATGTTCAGCGGCTCCCCACTGCTGAGGGACAAAGCCCAAACTCCATAGCTCGGCACCCAAAGTCCCAACCTTCCTTCCCAGCCTCGTTTCCTCTTCCCCCTCGTCCCAAAATGGTCCCAGCACCCCTTTTTGGCTGTGCATTAGGTCTGGCCTCTCACACCCAGAAGGTTCTTTAACGTGTTTTTCTAAATAAAAGCACAGTGGACCCTGGTTCTCCAACGTCAGCAACACTGAGAACTGGCAGAATCTTTAAAACAACTTTTCTAGAAAGGTTTCAAGTCTTGGGTGAAATTCAGAGGCCCCTCTGTTACCTAATTCATCACCCCCCTGAGAGGGCTGTGAGGATGAAGGGGCATGGGGCATGAAGAACTTAGCATGGTGATTGCATGCAGCTGGTGCTCAATACATGCCGGCTAGCAAACTAATTTTATAATCGTTCTCCTTTCTCCCCAACCTCTTTAGGTTAGGCAGGGATCAACAGCAAGTTTTCTTGACCTTCCTAGCGCAACCCCTAGGAGCTGTGTCTTCCCTGCCCTTCTCTTCCTCACAAGTCTAGCTCCCCGGATCCAGCAGACAGCAGGGCACATGGCGGTGCTGGGCGAGTGTCTGCTGGTGAGGGTGCACACCTCCCAGCCGAGCAGGTTACTTTCATGTCAGCCCGGGAACGTCCTGCCTGCCAGGACTTACTGCTTGGAATCACGGAGTTCGTGCTCTGAACAAAGGCACCAGAAAGAAGGGAGAGTGATGGCTGAAATCCAGCTGGCAATTGGGGTCCAGCCTGGAAGGTGGAACAGACACCTTTTCCTAATTGGCTCCCGCCTAGGGCAGCCTCTTCTATTTGGTCCGCCCATAAGGGGCACTTTTCCTGATTGTTCTGGCCATCGGAGGTACCTTTTCCAAATCACGCAGAGGCGCTGGATGCCCACCTGCCTGCCCGCCCCGCCACAGGTGACACTGGACTTCCTTGAGGCAAGGTCCACTTTGAAGAAAGAAATCCCAACCAGAAAACAAAATATAAACCACCACCTATTAACATTCCAATGAGCGCACTTACTGTTTATCGACAGCCCTCACAGAGATCGTACCCACCCTGGAGCCCATCAGAAGGAAGGCGGGATGAGCCATCATTTCCTCCGGGTTCGCCATCCTCATGGCTGGCTCCCTCCTGTGGATTGCTTCCAGCCCACCAACCTGGGTCCTGGGCGCTTCGCACAGACGCCATCTCATACCCGTCTCCCTTGAGAAAGGCACTACTTTCTACCATTTTACAGATGAGGAAACCGAGCTTGACAGAAGCGACTTGTCTAGCCCCGAATCCTCAGCTAGCAAGTGCAGAAATCTGGGAAATCTCAAGTAGCCAGGCAGGGAAATCCTGCACACTCTGTAACCCTCTCTTGGAGTCCTGCTGTTCCTCTGCATCCCCTACGCACCGTCCTTCAGGCGCCTGCCTTTTGGGGGGTCGGGTCGGGTTGTGGGCAACGGGGTACCCGGGCTCTTCCCTGGGGACAGCGGGCCTGCGCTGATCTCCCTGCCCGCCCGCAGGCGTGAAGACCCCCTTGTGGAAGAAGGAACTGGAAGAGCCCCGCGCCGGGGAGGTAGAGGCAGAGGAAGCCGAGGAGGGGTCGGAGGAGGAGGACGAGGCGAGGCCGCCGGAGGAGAGCGTGGCCGAGGGCGAGGCAGAGAGCCGGGAGGCGGAGGGCGACGAGGGCCAGCGGGGCTCGGTGTCCTACTGCCCCCTGCGCCAGGAGTCCAGCACCCAGCAGGTGGCGCTGCTGCGGCGCGCGGACAGCGGCTTCTGGGGCTGGCTCAGCCCGTTCGCGCTGCTCGGCGGCCTGGCGGCTCCCGCCGACAGGTGAGGGCGCGCCCTCGGCCCAGGCAGCAGGGATGCGCGCCGGGGCCCCCGGCGGGAGACGACCGCGCGGTGTCCTGAGCGCCCCGGTCCCCGCCCGCAGGAAGCGGAGCCTCCCGGAGGAGCCGTGCGTGCTGGAGACGCGGCGGAGACGGCCGCGCGGAGGGGGCTGTGCGCGCTGCGAGATCCTTTTCTGCAAGAAATGCGGGAACCTGCACAGCCACCCGGCCTTCGTGGCGCACTGCATTCTGGAGCACCCGGATCTGGGTGAGGCGCCGGCTTCGGGAGGAGCGGGGGCCACCGGGAGCCCCTGAGCGCCCCCACCTCCAGCCTTTGTGCCCTCCATCCTCGCCTGACCCCAAACTCCCTGCAACCTTCTCCTCGATCTTGACGCGGAGCGCTCTCCAGCACGTTCCAAAGCACTGCCCCTTCTCAGAGCCGCTCTCCCGGAGCGCCCCCCTTAGGCAGGAAGGCCCACAATTGGTGGCGCATTTCCACCTGTCATCGAGCGCCTGCCCAAAGCCGACCCCATCACCTAGAGCTCCATTCCTCCTGAGCGCCTCCTGAGGGCTCCCGCCCCCGGGCACCCAGTGCCTGCCCCCCACCTGACTCGCGTCCCCTGGCACAACCTCACATTCTTTTTTGGGTATTTCAGGTCCTTGTGGCCTGATGAGCAGAGGCATCCCTAGAGAAAATACCCTCTGGGTCCCCTCACCCCTCTGAGAAACCTACCTCTTCTTCTCAAGTCATTCAATAAAGCCTCTAAACAAAGTGTCAGCGCCTCGGTGGGGCAAGGCGGCTCTGGCTCTGGTAAGAGTGATGACGACCCAACCTTCTTCCCCTCCCCCAAGGTTCAAGCCAGCGGGGGAAAGGGCAGGGCGAGAGCCTGCTCCCTCCGCCTCCCCAGGACGGGGCGGTACAAAGCTCGCATCCAAGGGCAGTCAAAGGCCGTTCTCCCCACCGCGCAGAGAAGAAATGGAGGCACAGGGCCAGGAATGCCCGTGGGAGCTGGGGGCTGAACAGTGCCAGTCCATTCTCCCCTCCCCCTGGAAGCCTGGTCTTGCTGAGGTCGATGCGTGTGCAGATGAGGTACTGGCTGGTGTGGAGCAGGAAGGACTAGAGAACCAGGTGCTAAAATGCTGGGACTGTCTGAGGCAGAAGACAGGGAGGCTGGGGAGCTGGTTCCTTCTCCAGGAATCCCAGCTATTCTTGGCCAGCCAGCAGGAGCTCCTGGAATGCTGCGTGTGTGGCCTGGAGAATGGGGCCATTGTGAGCACAGGGCCTCCCCCGAGCGCCTGCAGCAGTGCAGACCTCCAGAGCGGCCCCTGTCCTCTCCCAGCCGCACGTGGTTCTCCATCTGGCCTAGGGGGTGAGGAGAGGCAAGGACATTTTGCTTTTTGGGGAGAGGCAGGCCCCTCGCCTCATCACAACTCTACACACACAAAGCCCGCTGGCCCTGGCTTGGATGGAGGGGTGTGGTCTCAGCCTCCTGGGCATCCTTCCCCCTGCTTTCACTGGAAACCAGTCCAAGGAAGGCTGATTGGCACCTCCAGGTCCACCAGCTGGGGGCACCTCTTTATTCCAGCCCCCCACAAAAAGTCCAGGCCCAGCAGGCCTGCCTGCATCCGTCTCCCTCTTGCTCTGGTCCTGACCCCCTGCAGGGCCTCTGAGGTTGGTGACCCTTGTACTCAACCCATGCAGGTTTCCTGGGGGTGGGGCCTCTGATTAAATAAGACACAGTTCTCCAAGGACTGAGCCAGGAGGTCCTAGGGGAAGGGGACGGTCTCGCAAAGGGGTCCCAACCTCTCTGTTGAGTTTTGCGTCCTCCCTGGTTGTCCACTGCCTCATAGACAGAGCTGCACCTTTAGCAGAAGAAACAATGCCCCAGGCTTGAGGAGGAAAGAGTCTTAGGGGAGAGGGTCATGGGGTCTTGGGACCTTTTTGGCTTCTCCTTGGATTGATCCCGGCCCCACCTCCATGTGGTGGGGACAGCAGAAAGACAAAGCCACGTTCTCCAGGGAACAGTTGCAGACAAACTTCCCTGCTGCGTCTTCTGCAGGGGAGCTCAGAGCTTTCAAGACAGCTTCTGCCCCTGGGGCAGGGAACACAGTGGGCCACGAGTGGGCCACCAACAGTTCACTAAGAGGTGGAGGTGCCTTCAGAACAGAGCGCCCCCCGAGTTGGCGTGCCAGCAGCCCATCCAGGGCAGCTCCGTGGCCCAGGGCCCCGAGGCGGTGGCCTGCAGTTTAGCCTGGTCCAGGCGCCAGTAGCGGTCATCTCGGAAGAAGATGATGGAGCCGTCGGGCCGGGGCAGGGCGCCGCTGACCTCCTCAGGGACCCCGCCCCAGTCCTGCAGGCCTCGGGGGTAGTACGGCTCCACCTGCAGTCCCCCTCGGGCCAGCACGTAGTAGCGGGCACCCTTGAAGAGGACGAGGCGGCCCAGGGGAGGGAAGAAGAGGGCAGCATCGGGGTGTCGGGGCAGGCCGCCTGCCCGGCACAGCTGTGGCGACCCCCACGCTGGCTTGGGGCCCTGGAACCTCCAGCATCGATTCCCTGTGGGGCATTGGGAGAGCCAGGGTGAGCCAGCGGCTCTCGCCCCTTGGTCCTCCACCCCACCTCTGACCCCCTAGACCTCTGCTCCCCCTGGTGTTGGAGCCCAAGGTGGTTAGTATTCGTGATCATCAAAATGGATCATACTAAAATTTAAACCGTAGGGGAGGGGCTGCTGTGGCCTAGACTTCCAGCAGGTGTCAGCAGAGGGCAGACAGCGCTGAGGAAGCTACCTATCCCCACTGAGGAGCAGGCCCCTCCCGGGTGAGGAAGGACCCACAGCGGGGGGCCAGGCCTTTCTTTACCACCAGGACTCACGGTCCCGGGAGCGCAGGGAGCTTTGCTTTAACTCCTGTAACCCAACACCTCCAATCGTGTAGTGCCTAGAAGGCACCCAATGTCTGTTGAATGAATGAAGGAATGAATGAATGAACGCTATTCCTGAAGCAATGTACTGTGCATTCCTTAGACATGTTCTTTTAATCCTCCTTCGCCAACAAACTCAAGGGATTATTTCCCCCATTCAGGAAATTCAAGCTCCCAGAGTTAGGAGACAAGCTCAACCCCACACAGCCAGGATCCCAGGGGAGGTACGGACTCTCCGCTGAGTGATCCTTGCTTCCCGCTAGACTGTTCTCTGAAACACTCCCAACTTCTCTCTCTAGGACAACTTTGACACCCGCGCCCCCTAATCCGTCACTGAAGGAATCTCCTAACAGAGTTCCCTGGGCCCACACGTTCAGATTGGAATGGAGGTTCCCCCTCTTTTGACTTTGGGCAGGACGCCTCCCCTCTCTAGGCCTCCATTTTCTCATCCGCCCCGGGGCTGGTACCTTTGAAGAAGTAGAAGTCTCCATCCTCCAATGACACCGCAGCAGCCTCAATGTATGGGGGCAGCCCGGCCCACCTTTCCTGTAGTGGACGGGGCTCGGAGACATTGCCATCAGCTGTCACCTCCCAGAAGTGGCTCCCTTGGAAAATGTACAGTCTCTGCTGCCCGTCTGCCCGGAGACAAGAGAGAGCTGAGGAGCGACCATGAGCCTCCTGACTCCCTCCCAGGGAAGGTGCTTCCCGAGAACCCACCTTCCCAAAGGGACGCGAGAGGATGGAGTGCGCACAGCTGGGGTGGAGGGAGAGCGTGCAGGGGGAAGCAGTGTTTTGCTCGGTGTGGGCGTGCTACCCGGCAGAATGCTTGTGGCTTGGAATTTCTGGATTTTATTACTCATTCCCCCTACCTTGTATGCCAGCTCTGGAGACCCCTGGAGAGGTGGGGGAGGAGGGAAGAAGGAAGTGAGGCACTGGTGGGACCATCTTACCTACAGTGATGGCATCGAAGGAAGAGTGGCAATATTTAGGACCCTGGGTTTCAGGGCGCCTCCCCTGGGCTCTGTGGGGGTCCCAGGCCTCAAAGTCAGTGAACAGCTTTCCTGGGAGCTGGATGGCCACTGAGCCCCCCTGGGGCTTCCCTTCATGGGGAAGGAGAGAAGAGGGAGAGAACACATGCTGGTTGAGGGTAAGTGAAGGGCTTGGTTCCTTGGCTCCCCCTTGGTTCCTTTCATCCTTATCTGATGGGAGGGCAGGGAAGGAGAGCAGGGTTGGGTGTTAAGAGTTATCCTTGGTACCTGGGATTAACCATAGCACTAAACTCAGCAGTCCTCTCTCCTACCTAACAGTCCAGGAAAGAGGAACCTACTGAGATGAAATTGGAGTGGGGGACCAAACACTGGTTTGGAACTAAGAAGGGCAGAGGGTCTTCTTCCTGAGTCCTGCACAACGCAGATGACATGAGGGCAGAGCTCAGGGGCCCGGGCTGTGATAATTACTGCAATTATAATAATTACATTACTATTCTTCACTTATAAGAGTGAGGCAGAGTCCCACAAGCTTAAAATTTGGCACCAGCCCCTGAATCCTGGTCTGCAACTTCCTAGCTGTGTGACCTTGGACAAGTTACCTAACCTCTCTGAGCCTCATTTGCCTCGTGTGTGCACAAAAAGATACTTACCTCCTGGGTGTGCTGTATGTTAAGTGCCTGGCCCACAGTAGACACTCATGAAATAGCAGCTGTTATTATTACATTTGTGTAGGTTTCTTAGGCTACAAGCCATGTTCATACCCACTAGTACAACAGCCCTGAGAGGTAAGCAGGGCTTCAATTATTATCCGTTTCCTCGGAAGGTACAACTGAGGGCTCTCAGAGGGAAAACGCTTTGCCCAAGAGCAACTGCTAATCAGGAATGGAACGGTGACTTGAACCCCGGCTCCTGGCCCGGCCACGGCACCCCCACACTCTGAGGGAGGCAGCCCCGGGCTGTTTGTGGGGCCTGGGGTCCAGGCAGGTCTCTGGGCGGCAGCACTGGCCAGTTCACTCTGGGGGAGAAGACCTTGTGTGAGTTCACGGCCAGGCAGAGGCCCCGGCTTGGCAGGAAGCGGGCATCAGCGTCATGGAGGGGGGAGGCTGGGGGTTAGCCAGCGGGACTGGGAGCAGGAATGAGGGGTCTAGGTGACGGGGCAGCGATGCCAGAGGAACCGCGGAGGCCGGGCTTTGGGCAGGAAGCAGGACTTGGAAGGCAAAGGAGGGCTGTGCACAGGAATTGGTTGCGAGTGACAGAGGGCAGGCATGGCGGGAGCAGGAGCCTGAGGTTTTTCAGATCGGAGAGGAGCCCGCGGCTTCAGGACCGGCGACGGGGAGGCCAGATTCCTGCGCTTCGGACGCGGGGGATCCCAGTAGAGGAACCGGGGTCCCAGCCCTGGAGGCGACGGGGGCGGGGGCAGGGGTGGGGCCAGCGGCGGGCACGGCTGGGGGCTCACCATACAGGCTCTGCACGGCCAGCACGTCGTCCCAGCTGAGCAGCGCGTCGCGGCCCAGCTTCTTGTAGTAGGGCGCCATGAGCGCGCGCGGCGCGGGCGAGTGGCTCAGGCCCAGCGTGTGGCCAATCTCGTGCGCCAGCACCACGAACAGATTGCGCCCGCGCCGGCGGCTCAGGGACCAGCGCTCGTCCCGGTCGAAGTGCGCTTCGCCGCGGCGCGGCAGGAAGGCGTGCGCCAGGGCGCCCCCTGCAGGCGGCGCAGAGGGTCAGCGGAGCCGCGGCTCGCGGCGCCCCCAAGGTCCCACCAACCGGGGCTAATGCCATGGGGGCGGGGGGCTGGGCGGTGCCTGCTTTCTGCAACATAATTTCCCTCCTAATTAAGTCTGGCAGAAGCTGAGCGTGGAGCAGGGCACACGTGACTAGGCGGTTGGGTATGGACACCGAAGAGGCAGTGTAGTGTACATATAGCATGGGGCCAAACTGCCAGGGTTCCAATCCTGGTTTATACCGTTTACTAGCTGTGTGACCTTGGGCAAATAACTTAACCCCTCTGCGTCTTAGCGTCCTGATCTGAAAATGGGAATGATGATAATGAGGTTCTTCCTCACAGGGGCTGTTCTGAGGATTAAAAAGGGATGTGTGTATGTTATATATAAGACTTAGTGCCCAGCACAAAATAAATGCTATATAGGAATTATTTTCAAAAAGATCTAGGAGTAGGTACAGTGGTTACCCCAGAAGGGGGTACGTTGGGGCCTTCTGGAGTGTTGGTAATGTCCTTTCTTGATCTGGGTGCGTTTATACATGTGCATAGTTTCTTTAATAAAAAAGCATATATATATATATATATTCTTGTGTTCTTGCCCTCCCTCTGCCAGGGCCCCTCTGTGGGTCTCTACCTCCTGCTTGTAACAGGAGTGAGCAGAGGGAGCTGGGCTGGATCAGTGCTTCTGGAGCTTGCAGTGTGCCCCAGATGGAGCTCATCAGTCACAGTTTCCAGGGCCCCACCCCTCACAATTCGCTTTCCACGGGGGCAGGGGTCAGCACACTGCACTGGGGTAATGTTGGCTTAGAAGCTTGTTGAGGGTTTTTCCCGCGTTGCCTTCTTGGAGGCCAGGCCAATGGGGACTGACAGAGGTCAGGAGGCTGCCCTCAAAGGAGAGCCTCACGGAGCATGGAGAGCCGGCCATGGGAGGGGGAATACACATCTCCTATTTTGAATATGCCTCAAGCTGTTTTGAGCTGTTCAACTCTAACGATAATCCTGGGAGACAGATGGGCAGGTTTCAGAGAGAGAAAACCTAAACTCAAAAGACAAAGCCTGGGTCCAAATCAGAGAGCCAACTCCCAGGCCAGTGCAGTCTTAGCTACCAGACTCCACCTGGGATGGACAGAAACCTCTCACGTAGAGATCACGGGTGAAGTGAGTTACATGCAAGCGCCTGTGGGCGCCACATGTGGACTCTTAAAAAGCTTAGATTTCTCCCAGTCCTACCCCGGGACCCAGCAGCAGGACCTGAAGTGGGCTTTGCTCTGAGTGGGCTTGATGGAAAGCAGAAGAGTGCAAGGGTCGGGGGGCTATACTCCCAGGCCACACGGGGCTTAAGTCTCCAGCCTGAAGGGGTCCGGGGAGGTCTCCTTTCCTCATCTGGGGGGAGGAGATGCACAGACAGCCCTCGTTCAGGTTCTGAAGGCCAGTGTTGGGCAAAATGGGAGGAGAGCAGTTTAAAAAGCAGCCATAAGCTTTTAGGTTGGGGGCAAAAAGGAGAACCGTCTGGGGCTGTGGGGACGTGAAGTGCTTCTGTGGCAGGCAGGGGGCAGAATGCTCTTGCCCGGTGGCCGTGACTGTGGTAGTGGGTGGGGGGAGGGCAGGAGTGGAGCAGTAGTGGTCTCTGGATGTTTTTAGGGCCTTGCTCTGGAGAACAAGAGAGGCACAGGCCTGTCTAGAGACAGGGGAGGGATGATGGGACCTCAGAAGTTTCTCCCAGAATTCTCTTTAGAGTTTGCAAAGCACTTTCCAGCCAGAACCTCATCTGACTGTCCTTTCAGCCATGTGACACATAATAAGGCAGGGACCATTGTTCCCAATCTATAGATGGGGAGACTGAGGGTTCTTGGAGGGGGATACAGCTTGGCCAAGGCCAAAGGCAGAGTGATTGCTCCGTTGCCCTCCCCAGACTGTCTCTCCTCCTCGGGTTCCCCTCCTGCCATGTGGAGAGGCTCTGTGTCAGCACCTGGCCCATCAAAGGCATTGCCCAGCCCGTCATTGTGGTCCCCTTGGAAGAAGGTGAGGCGGATGTCAGCCGGGCCTGTGGCGGGGGCCTCCCAGAACTCCAGCGCCGAGACGTTGCTCCACAGTTGGAAGGCGGCGCGCACGGCCCCCCGAACGGCCGGCTCGGGCAGGTGCTGGGGCCAGTTCACCAGGCGGTAGGAGAGGTGCTGCTTGTACCACTTGTTGCCTGCCACCCAGAGAGGCCGCGTCAGTTATACCTGCAGAGGCTGGGGCTGTCACCATGGACTGGTAGGATGGGGAGAGAGGCCCTCCTCCAGGGAGTCCCTGATCTGATGGAGAAGACACAGCCCTTGCCCTGGGAGGTCCTGCATTTGGCTGGGGAGACGCTGCTCTCGGGCTGACAGGACTAGCCTTGTCCTGGAGAGTCCCCAGTCTAGTGGCTTGGTCTGGGGAGGTTGTACTATGATGGGGGGGATGCAGCCTCTGCCTGGGAAAAGCTCTCAAACTGAAAAACTCTCTGGTCTGGGGTCTTCTTCTCCACAGCTTGGGCTAAGCCTGAAAACCACTCTGCTCCTCTTGCTGGCAGCAAACCCCAGCCCCTGCCCACCTTGTCAGGATGGAGGAGAGGTGGGGCCCCAGCCTCTCACCCCTTCCTCCTCTCCACCTCCCCTTCCACCTCCCTTTCCAGTGCCTCGGGCCTGAGGCTGACAAGTGACCACAAGACCCATTTATTCCAGGTCCTTCCCTGACCTTTTGCCCTCCCCCTTACTTCCTCAGGGACTCTGGAGGGCTCTGAGGTGAAAACAAATAAGAACAAAGGGTGTGTTTTGTCACTGACAAGAGAGAAATTTTTCCATTGCCACTTAGTTATGAGTTTCCAAAGCTTCTTTGCCCAAAACTGCAGTTCCTCCCTGAGGCCTGAGACGCTGGCCTCTGGCCTGAACCCCGGGGTCAACTGGTCCCTCTGCAGCTCACCATGGGCCATTTCTGAGCCCTGAAAGCTTGGGGGCTGAGATTGTGACCCCAACTGAAAGACTTGCAGCTCGGAGGCAGGACCCCTGGGCCTGGGGAGCGCACCAGAATCATGTTGTCTTTTGGGCTTCGGTTTCCCAAATGGACCAGGTTCCCGGGGCATGGGTGACAAGTAGATAGGGCAGGCCTGACGGTGCTAGGAGCCCAGGCCAGCGGGCACAGCCCACTCTCCCCTTGGAGGGGCTGCTGAAGATTCAGACCTCCTGCCCCTTTGTTCTGGGGCAGTCCTTGCCTGAACCAGCCAGGAGGAGTGGAGTCATGCAAGTTTGGCCATCTCCTTATCCAACCTCTCTGTGCTCTATTCCGGGGAAATTGAGAGCAGGGGGAAGGAGCTGCTCAGAGTCACTGAATGAGTGAGTTGCCGAGCAAGGCCCTGCACCCAGGCCCTGACAGCTGATGCAGTGCACTTTCCACTCCACCACACAGATAGGCAGGCACCTTTGCTAAGACTCAAGCCTTATAAATTTGCCTAAACACCACTCCTTCGGGTCAAAGCAGGGGTTCTGCAGGAGCTGAAATTCTCCTGGTGAAAGGGAGGGTCTAAGACAGCAGAGGAGCTGAGCGCCCTTTCCCTCCCTCCATCCCCCATGGAAGTAGGGGAGGGCAATGTCCCTTCTCCCACCCCTGAGCCAAGCTCCATTCAAGGCAATGCTGCCTCCAGAGCCTGTTTGGCCTGGCAGCCACCCAACCCCTCCCAGCCAGTGACCAGCCCTCAGAGAGGGAAGAGGGAAGGATTCTAAGGAAGGGAGGGAGACGAGGAATGCAGAGGGAAGGCTTGGGGTTCAGAGGCGCCGCCCACCCAAGGGTTCATTATGTGCCAATGACACTTTTAGTTGCATTGTAAGTCTTCACCGGCCCTGGACTAGCTGGTGCTGGGCTCTTTGCACCCTGCCATGGGTGACCAACTCCCAGACTCTCCCCTCCAACCTTCAAGCTTCTAAAAAAGTGTGAGGTGGCTCCTTCTGCCTCTTTGCAGCTAAGGGAGGTCCCTTACTTTGCAGCTAAGGGAGGTCCCGCTGGCGGGAAAGAGGGAGGATGGGCAATTCTCTCACTCTAGGTAGCCAGTGAAGGTGACAGCTCACAGGATAAAAACCTTCTGTGAAACTGTGTGTGTGTGTTCAGCGGAGGATAGGGAAGACAAATAGGAACAGGAATTGAGAGAAAATGACTAATTTTCCTTGGGAGGAGAGCTGGTGGAGGGTCGTTGGTGTGCCTGCCAGGAAGGAAGGAACCTCCCCGGGCCAGCAGCCTGAGCCCTCTCCCCTGTCTTCTCCCAGATTTATGTCCTTGGAGCAAGCTGGCCGACTTCAGGCCCCATCACAAACTCCTGGCTGGGCAGCGCTGGTTTCCATGGTGACTTCCAGGCCCCAGTGGCACCTGGCACTGCACCCCCCCACACCCTTGCTCCCATATCTAAAAGGGAAGAGGGAAGTAAAAGGAGATGGGGAAGGGAGGAGAGCTAGATTCCTTGCCTGTGGAGGACCCTGGAGTCCTGACTCTCAACAGGCAACTCATATGGTAGAAAGAACAAGGTTTGGAATCCCAGTGACCCTGCTTACAACCTTACATGACAAATTACGGAATCTCTCCAGGCCTCATTTTCCTTATCTGCAAAGTGGGCCTGATAAGACCTACCTCATGGTAAAAATGAAATAGCAAATGAAATAGCACTGTGAAGCAGCCTGGCATGTGGTGGGTGCCGAGTAAATATCCATTCCCTTCTCTTTCCTCTCCCCCGCCAGAATCACCCCTGTGCTCCCCACGCCTTCAGCTCTATGAGAGAGCAGGGGGATTGAAAATCGTTCCTGCAGGCCCAGAGGGGAGCAGGCGCTTGGAATGAGGTTGCCAGATTTAAGAAATAAAAATATGGATTGCCTAGTTAAATTTGAATTTCAGATAAATAACAATACTTTTTTTAGTGCAAGCATGTGAAAACAAACCAGTTATTTGTCGTTCATCTGTAATTCAAATTTAACTGGGCATCCTGTGTTTTATCTGGCAGCCCTACCCTGGAACCCAGCTTCATCTGCATAGCATTCACCCACATAATGGAAAGTCGCTAGCCCAGGAATCCACTTCATTTTTTAAAGCATCTACCCACGTTCCGGGGTTTTTCACATGTAGAAACTCACTTAATCCTCCCAATGACAAGAGGACTTGGCCACACTCTGGCTATGTGGCCCTGGGAAAGTTACCTAAGTTCTTGATCCCTCAGTTTGCTCATCTGTAAAATGAGGATAATAACAGTACCTATCTTGTAGGGATGTTACGGGATTAAATGAGTTAATCCCATTAGGACTGTGCTTGGCACATCATAAATGCTCAAAAGTGTTAACCGTCATTATTCCATTTTCTTTCCTGAGGCATAGGAAGCGCTCAGTGCCTGCCAAGCACACAGCTCCCTTCTAGGGAATGCCTTCCCACCCAGGAGGTAAAGGAAGTCTCAAGCTGCTGTAGTTCACCTTGTGAACAAGAGGGAAATTCTCTGTGTAACCTCACCACTGCTGTCTGGACCAGGGGTCAGTGTCAGACAATGAAATGGGGTTAAGCCGGTGGGTGAGGCCACCTGCCTGGGAGGTGGTTTAGTATGAATCTCTGTCTAAAAGGGAGGCTCCAAATTGGATAGTGGCAAAAGGACTTGATCAGATCCTCCCTTGAGGCATGAGAAGATGAGATGCTGGCAGACAAAGCATTCCCAGTGCTCAGGTCACGCCCTGCATGCCCAGGAGGCATTGTCCCAATTCTCTGAGAGATCAACTCCAGCCTGGAAGTGCCACTGCTGAGGCTGTGTCAGGGGCTGCCCCACTTGGCACTGTATTCTCACAACGAGCCTTTCTCTTTGGTAATCAGGGCCCGTATCTCCTGTGCAATCTGAAAGGGCCTCTGTCTCAGACGAGGAAACAGAGCAAAGTGACATGGTCCAGGTCACACAGCTGAGCCCAGAGCGCCAGCTCCAGGGACGCTGCTCCAGCTCACGTGCCTCCGCAGTGCCCCTCTGCTGTCCATAAACACAGAGGGACGCAGAACAGGTTGACACCAAGGACGTCTTGACCCCAGAATCTGGACCCCATCACTGCTTCCTTGCTCTATCAGGAACGTGGCTGGTCAGTCCTGGGGACCCAGAGTGGCTGGATGTGTAGACACAGTGGAATTGGATTGGCAAACACTTGGAAACAGCCACCCTCAAGAGCTGAAGGGAACCACCCACATTTTCCTCATGGATTAGCTAAGAAATAAAAACAAACTATAGGCCCTCTGTCCTGTTCAGAATGGATATTGTCGGTAAAAGTAGTTATAAATTAAATGAGGCAGTGGCTGAAAGTGCTCATAGTAATAAGATTTACAGATGAAAACCTGGCTGAAGAACCTCATCTGGTTAGAAATCTTACCAGTGAAAACTGATTGGAGAAAACTTGACTTAGTACAAACAAGATGTTAATTACACACAGTGAAACTTGTTATTGATGGACGATTGACAGAAGAATCAAATTTTGTGTGAGTGTGTGTGAGGAAGATTAGCCCTGAGCTAACATCTGTTGCCAATCCTCCTCTTTTTGCTTGAGGAAGATTGTCACTGAGCTAACATCTGTGCCCATCTTCCTCCATTTTATGTGGGATGCCGCCACAGCGTGGCTTGAGGAATGGTGCTAGGTCTGTGCCTGGATCCGAACTCGCGAACCCCAGGCAGCCAAAGTGGAGCACATGAACTTAACCACTGCGCCACCAGGCAGCTCCCAGAAGAATCAAATCTTCTTCATAAATCTTAGATTGGTAACATTTGACCCCAGAAGATTGGATTTGGACAAAGAAGGAGGAAGAGGAGGAGGAGAAGCAAAGAAAACATCAAAACTATAAAAGGAAAATACAATCGCAGAAAGTGTAATGTGTAAAATGTGCTATGATGAAATGTTCAGAATAGGCAAATCCATAGAGACAGAAAGTAGATTGGTGGTTGCCTAGGGGCTGGGGGAAGGGGACTGGGGAGTGACTTCTAATGGGTCTGGGGTTTCTTTTTGAAGTAATGAAAATGTTGTGGAATTAGATTGTGGTAGTGGTTGCACAATTTTGCAAATATACTAAGAACCATTGAATTGTACACTTTAAATGGGCAAACCATATGGTATATGAATTATATTTCAATAAAGCTGTTAAAAATGTGCTATGGACAAAATAAAACTGATCAATGAATCACATCTTTGTTGAATAGTTCTTATGAAAAAAGAATCGATTCTGATGAAAATAACTTCAGTAAAATATAAAGGAAAATGTTGGCAACGGTTTAACTGCCCTGCACATCAAATTGATGGAGGAATTAAGTGAGCTTGATGGGGTTTTCTGTGGAAAATGCACAAAGAAAGTTCATCGATGTAGGTACCATTCTGATTTAAACATCTGTGTCTACAAATATGGTCCTCAAGTTGAGAGGTCCCACTGCTCCTCACTCTCCCGCCCTAGAGAAGAGGTTATTGACAAAGCCCGGTCTGAGGCTGAGCCGATTTTTTTCTGGCCATGGGGCTTCAGGATGTTGGGAAACCCCAGCTTAGCTAGATTTTAGCAATGCTCACCTTGCTTTGCGAAGCGTTTCTTACGCCTCATTTTGCCCCGGTGTCCAGCAAACCGGGCACTGACCCTCTCAGTCCAGGCCACCTGACTGTCTGTATCCGCAACCCCACATCGGGGCCGCATCATCTGGCGCAGGGTGGCAGGGTCCAGCACGCCACTGACCGGCAGCTGGGACACCCACTGGAACTCCCTGTCAAGGAGGAATTGAGAAAAAGGACCACAAAGGGAGGACGGGCGGTGGGGTTGGGGGCAGGGAGCTTCCCTGGAGACAGCAGGAGGATGGGGGCAGGGGAGGGAGGGAGCAATGACCCCGGACACACGTGGAAGGCCGGCCTTCCAGGAGGAGGAAGGAGGCGACTCAAGCTTTGCACTCAGCGCCCCCACATCCTCCACATCCCTGCATCGTACCTGATGGCACTGCTGAATTGCGTGGACGTGGGAGCTCTGGAGGCCTGTTCATCGAGATATCCGTACTTCTCCAGGAATGCCTGAGGGAGAGAGGAATGTCAGCTTTCCCCACAGTGTGGCATCCTTTCCTCTCCCTCGGTCTCCAAGGATCCGTGGCACATACATCATGCCTGGTCTCATCTTTAGTTCCAACAGGGTGTATGAGCTACGGCAGGAAGAGTCCTGGGATCCAAGTCAGAAGGACCTGGCCTCAGTTCCAGGCCACCACTGACTAACTGGATGGCATTGGGCAAGACACTCAATATTTCTGAACCTTAGCTTGCTTAATTCCCAACTTGGCCAAGCAGGCCCTAGCCGGCCCATCTCACGCCATGCTCAGGAATCTAGCAGGGCACGCTGGACGGTAGAGTTATGGGCTCTGGAGTCAGGCTGGCTTGGGTTTAAACCCCAATTAGCAAGCCACTTCTCTACACCACAGGTTTCTTATCTCTAAAATGGGCTTAGAAATAGTACCTACCTTACAGGATTTTTGCAAGGATGAATCACAATAGTGAATATAAAACACCGAACACAGGGCCTGGCACGTGGTAGGGACTCCATACAGAGTAGCTGTTATGATATGTGCGATGTAAACAGACGTGATTCATGTGCCTCAACTCTGCTCCTGAACCTCTCTCCCTTCTCTAGGAGGTTTCCCTCTATTGATTAGCAGTTGAGTTGATCACTGCCAGCTCTGCCACGCCTGGATTGGGAATGAATTCTCTCTCGAATTCTGGTTTCTCCCAAACAATTCTCCTCCCCTCAAATACAGATATATTTAAGGCCCCATGAATGACAAACGCACTTACCTTCAACTCTATGGTTTATATAAAAACTTAACAGCCTGGAGAAGTGTTTTTTGAATTAGAAACCTGCATTCTCCTCCTTTCATTCATTCAGTTGTGAATTCACACGGTGTACTAGGTACCCTGCCAGGTGCAAGGGTCAACAAGACACCCCTAAAGGAGCTTATATACTTGTGGGTAGAGGCAGATGATAGAAACATAGATGACAAATAAATAAAGGAGACAGTTTTGGTGCTAGAAAGAAAAGAAACCGGGGGATGTGAGTGACAATAACTTAGAAACTTTACATGAGGGCGTCAGGGGCGGAGCCTCTGAAGAGCTCATATCTGATCTGAGTACTAAAGAATGAGACGTTGTAGCCATGCAACAAGGTGGGAAAGGGTGTTGGAGACAGAGGGAGCGGCAAAGGCCAGCCTGAGCTGGGAAATACGCTGATGTGCTCAAGGAACAGAAGGAAGGCTGGACCACAGTGAGTGTGAAGAAGCCAGCATGCGATGAAGTCAGAGAGAGAGGCAGGACTGTCAGCCAGGGTAAGAAATGTGAGTTTTACTTACTGACGATGGATTAATTGTGGGGAATGACAGAAAGGGAGGAATCGGGATGGCTCCTAAATTTTTGCTTTGGAAGGCAATGCCATTTACTGTATGAGGAAGCCTGAGGTAGGAAGGGTTGGGGGCGGATGGGAATAAGATTAACACGGTGATGTCAAGTGGCACTGGCTGTCTGATGCTGGAGCTCAAAGGAGAAGCCCACGCACAGGATATGAAGCTGCGGACCTGGATGAGATGCCCCGGGGACATTAGTCTAACTACAGAATATCCCATGGCCTACATTCCTTTTACTCACTGCCTGCCCTCACACACCTGGGAGCCGCTCTCTCAGCAACCAAGTTCTTGGAGGCCAGGGGAGAGACATGTGTGACTCACTGTCCTTATTGATCCCCAGTCCTACCCTTCGGAGAAACGATGCACTTGGATCTCTGCTTGCCCTTCTCGCTGATAAAGACCCATCAATGGATTTTAAAAAACGTCACCTGCTTAATTCTTTTTTTTTTTTTTTTGAGGAATATTAGCCCTGAGCTAATATCTGCCATCGATCCTCCTCTTTTTGCTGAGGAAGACTGGCCCTGAACTAACATCCATGCCCATCTTCCTCTGCTTTATATGTGGGACGCAGTCCACAGCATGGCTTGCCAAGCAGTGCATAGGTCCACACCCGGGATCCGAACCAGCAAACTCCAGGCCAGTGAAGCAGAATGTGTGAACTTAACTGCTGCACCACCGGGCCAGCCCATCTTGCTTAATTCTTATACAGACACATATCATCTCCTCATTTTTACCCCTCCTTGCTGTGTTACCTATACAGAAATAATTTTCTGTCTTCCTTGTTCTCTTACCCATTTTTCTTTGCTGTATTTCTAAACTCAAATCAACTCCAATCACCATTGCTGCCTCAAGGAAAATGCACAAGTAGGGGATGCAACGAGACACTAAGAGCCAGCATGGGCAAGCACTCAGTCTTTGCAGAATCCAGCCTCCTCTTTGTGGATTTCACTACATCCATCTTCAGTGACCTCCCCATCTTCTCAATAAAGCCACTTTCTATAAGGAACCCTTATTCTAGGCAACAGAACACTTTCCAAGTCCGTTGTATTGTTTTTCCGCGTTACTTTATCAGTATTTCAGCACTATTGTTTTCTTTTTTCCTTTTGCAAATGTACACTATTTTGCAATGCATAATGGATTAAAGGAATCCTAGTGGCTTTATCTAGAAGACTATTTACTGCTCAAAATAGTGTGGCATCATGGAATAGCCACCAGGCTCGGGAGCAAGAGTCTGTTCCCAACTCTGACTCTGTTGGGTGGCTGGGGACAAATTACTTAACCTGTCTGAGTCTCTGTTTCCTCACCCACAATGTGAGAACAAGGATAATCCCACAGGATTCTTAGAAGGATTAAATAAAGCAACCCACATTTAGCATAATACCTGGTACATAGTAAGTGCTCAGTAAACAGTTGATCTAGTTGATTTACCTTAGAGGGAACATTAACAACAGACTTTTGGAATGCAACTCCCCCCAGCTGTAGGATGGGAACTGCTCTAAACAAGGCAGTTACACCTCTGTCCTCAATTCAGATGCTCTAACTCAGACCTGCCTTACCCCAGCCAGGTGCCCGGTTCTCTTCCTTGCGTCGTCGTGAGGATGGAAAGAACAACTTTCTAAAGGAAGCCAGGGAATTAATGTCTCCTCAGAAGTGGTTTTGCTGACTGAGTGACTTGTGAGGGACTGGGTCACAGGCCAACAGGCTGGCACTCCCTGTGCCCTCCCCCCAAACCCGCCCAGCCCTTATCAGGGAGTTGGCTGGGGTTCTGGAACTATGAAGCTTGGACAGAGCGGGAAGGGGGAGGGAAATTGACTAGCGGCGTCTCCTGTTTCCTGGCTCAGCTGCCGTGCCTGGTACTTTGGCAGGCAAGGTGGGGCGGAGAGGCTGGGTGGAGGGCAGGACCAGGGGAGAGGCCTTTTCCAGGGGTCCCTCAGAGGGGAAGCCCTGGGCGTTTCTTCCTGACTCCGCTGGGACACTGTGGGTTGCAAGACAGAGCTGAACTCCCACTAGGCAGAGAGAGCTGTGTCCAGGACACCAGCCAAGAGACAGCAAAAGAATGAGAAAAAGAAATTTTAAGAATTTGGCATTTTATATTTCCATAAAAGCACTGAAGCGTTATAATGGGGATTAGCAGGACTTAAGAACTCCCTTATACTTATTTTTGTTTATTATGCACATATTTAAAATTTTTTTAACTTCAAGGAAGGGGCCCCTTAATACTGTCAGTGCTGAGTGCTCTAAAGTTCTGCTGAGTGGAGGCCGACCCACATCCCTAGGTAGGGAGCAGGTACGGTTGAGATGCCCTCTGCTCCTGCAGCTGTCCCTAACATTCTTCTGTGAGCCTATTTGCTGTGCCTCAGTTTCCCCTGCAAAGGTGAGAGGAATGCCCCTGTCTGCATGGGAGACAGAGCGGGGGTGTGGGGCAGGCCACAGCGTGGCACAGGGATGCCTGGACAGGACAAAGAACTGGGAGATTCTCATCCCAGCTCCACCACTGACCACCCTGGAGGAGTCATGTCCCTTCCAGGCTGCAGTTTTCCTGGTGCTTGTCCTGTGTTCTCTTGGGGACTCCCCAAGCTCCACCTGGGGTCACTCTGTTCCCCCTTCTTGCAAGCAGGGCCCGGGCTGCTCCTCTCTGCCTTGTAACACTAGGTGTTCTCTCTTCCCTATTCTTCAGCCATCCTCTCTCCTAGCGAGCCCAAGGCTTGAACTGAATAGAGAGGAAGCCGGAGGGCTGTGCCTCTTCCGTGATTCATCCTGCTTGGGCCTAAAAGCTTGTGCCAACCTGCCTCACCCTGTAGGTCAGGGCTGGGGCCACTCTTCTGGAGAATTGCCTCTGAAAAGCTGTGGGAGTGGCTGAGGTGTCTGGGTAAAATGAAAATGGTTCTTCCCAGGACCCAGAAAGCTGAGTAGAATCTGAACTCCAGGGGTTCCAGTCCTGCCTCTGTCCTGACTTGTCATGGGAGGGTGTGTAGAGCCCAACCCATTTAGTGCCTGAGGGAAGGGGAAATTCTGGCCATTTCTGAGCAGGGCAAGACTAGCAAGCAGGTGTAGCAAAATGAACCCAGGCCTGAGTAAGAACTCTGAGTCACTGGCCTGGCAGGGCAAGAGCACTAGCCTGAGTGTCTTGAGTTTTGTTCTTGGTGCTGCTGCTAACTGTGTGTCCTTAGGCAAGTCCTTTACCTCTCTGGGCCTCAGCTTCCTCTTCTGTAAAATGAGGGGTTCGGATTAGAGCTAAGACATGCTCCAGCTCCATCTCTTATGGCAGCCTTGCTTCTGCAACTGATTAGCTGTGTGAACCACGACAAAGTTATTTAACCTCTCTGTGCCCCAAAGCATAAAATTGGGGTAGGACTACTGCTCTACATTTCTCAGAGGATCGTCATGAAAATCCGGTAAGAAGAGGCTTTGATAAAGCTTTATGATAACTGTGCCATTAAAAACGTTATTTTTCCCTCTGTAGTCAGAGAGCTTTATTGCAGGAAGGGCCCTTTGGTAGATGAGTCTAGGAGGGGCCAGCTTCCAGTCTCATGTCCACAGAGTAGCTGTGGCAGCCTCCATATCAAAGAATTGTAGCAGCAAAAATGAAACCAAGGACGAAAAATGGCAAAGTGGCAAGCTCGTGCAGAAACCATGTTGCTTGACGGATGATTTATTCCATCTCATGATGTTTTTGTAAGATTTTAGTCTTTCCATAGTGACTCTATGTGATTGTTTTTATCATTCAATTCATCTTTAGAATTATTAGCCAAGCCAAGATGCAAGAGATGATGGTTGGCGTTCTGCCTTAGTGTGTTCTATAAATAAAAACGTTTTCTGGATATCAGAAGCACAGTGAGCTCTTGACTATTGTAGAGCTTTTAAGGATATTACATCTTCTTTGAGCTTCACAATCACCCTGCAAGAACATAGGCAGGACAAATGTTCTTGTTCCCATTTTAAAGATGAGGAAATTAAGTCTCAGGGGAGTGCAGTGTCTTGCTGAAGGGTCCTAGTGAGGGACAGAACCAATCCTTGAACCAGAGTCCTCTGACACCCATCTCAGAATGTGTCATTTCACATTCAAACAAGTGACGCAGAGGCTCTGAAACTGCAGGAGCTGGGCCAAGTTGCTCTCTGCCTTGGGGAGACGGCCCTCAAATATGAAAAAGGTAAAACTGGGGGTGTTTCTAGCTGGATTCCTGCTGTCTCTTCTGCAAGCAGGTCCAGGGGCAGAGCAGAGGGAAGAAGCTGCTTGGGCGGTGGACCCCGGCTTTCAATAGAGGCTGGGATCACAACTCCCATCACACCCCAAACTAGTCGTCTGACAAGCCACAGGCCTTCAACAGGACTCAAGCATGTTCCTTCACAAAGACAGACATCTGCTTCCAGGATGCTTTGCTTTTGCTCTCTGGCTCCTGGAGCCTACTGAAGGCCTTAGGGGAGTGGGGCCAGCTTGGTCTCCTTCCTTTATTTTGGGCAAAGGCGTCCCCTTCCTTCTGACTCCTGTGCTCTTTGCCTCCTTTCCCTTGTTCCTAGTCTCATATTCACAAAGTTCTGTCTGGGTGTAACCTAGATACCTCTTACTATAATTCCCGCTCCTCCTTTCATTTTCCGTCGTTAAGGAAGTTGGAAAACATTAGCTGGCCTGTCTCCATCCAGACCCCATCTTGCACTTTTTCCAAAGCCAAATAACCATGCTGTAGGGACTCAGGGTCCTCACTAGGCTTGTGGGGCTAAGTTTAGGGCACAACATGCCCTAACCAAGGCTGGGTCTAGGGAGAGTGTCTACTCATCTCTCCCTTCTTTGTTCCTGCTTCCACAACCCAGCTTTTGCTAGCTTTCTTGGTTTTCAAGCTGGCTTGACAACTGCTTTTCCACCAACTTGTGGTCCTCTGGGACCCTCCAGAGACTCTTCTGCACTTCTATTCACCCTGTACCCATGAGTCACTGAGCTGAGCTCTTGGGAACAGCTTCCACGCCTGGGCTTCTGGGTTTCTGACTCACAAAAAGTCAAATGAATGGCTCCAGGGTATGAGAAACAGACACTGCAACTGTGGGTGGATACTCCACAGAAGCTCTGATGTCTCCCTGGAGAAACAAACGACCCAGCTCCTTGTTGTACTGGCACACTGAGAACAGCTGTGCAGATACGCATAGACCACCACGTGGAAGGCGTGTCCTGGGCATACTGCCTGCGTATTCTAAAGAAGAGCCAAGCAAAGCATGGTAGATAGATCCCTTGGGACAGTCTGTGTCGCCCAAGCATAGGACAGGGCCTGGCTAGGAATGGGAATGGGCCAGGGTGATGATGTCATTCATTAACTCTCGATCTCGCAACCCAGCAGTGAAGGCTCTTCCTACTCACCAGTGTTGTGAGCAGCCCTAGTTTTCCTAAGTGGCCAACAAGGAACTTGTTCATAATGCAGCTTTGTAAGTAGTCAGTCTCCACCCAGGCAAAGCCCGCTCTGGAAAGCCCTCAACTTTATCACTTTGTGTGCACACAGGGGACACAGAGAGCCATGCACACAGGGCACAGGAGTACACACAGTGACCTCCAGACAGACAGACATGGACACACAGGCCGACGAAGTGAATACACACACACAGAAGCAGAAACACACAAACACACCAAAGCCAAAGAATGTTAGCACTAGAGAGAACCTTAGAAATCATTTAAGAAATTTAACTCCCTTATTTTACAGAGGATGAAACTGCAGCCTGGAGAAGTGAAGGGACTAGCCATGCTTTTACTTCTTCCCTTCTGTGTCCTGAACTCTGACCTTCGCCCATGAGCTCAGCAGGACTGCTGTGCTCTGCTGGGGTCTAGCTCCTTGCACTGTGGTGATCCAGGGTGATCATGGGGCTCACTTCGTGAGTTGCCCTTCTCTGGATGATTGTATTTCCCTAAATGAGAATATCTCTCATTCCCATTCTCTTCTTATAATGTGACTTCAACACTCCTCCCATCAGTTGTGGGGTCTATGTTCCCTCTCGTTCAACCTGGATGGCAGCTTGTGGCTGCTCCTGCCAACGGAGTACAGCAGAAGTGATGCCATGCAACTTCCTCGTTTAGGTCACAAAAAGAGGACAACTTCTTCTGCTTCTCTCCCTCTCTGTCTCTCTGTCTCTCTCTCTTGGAACACTCATCCTGGAGATCCAGCCACCATATTTCAAGGCAGCCCAAACTAGGCCACATGGACAGACCACGTGGATAGGCCCACCTGGAGAAGAACCAAGGCCCCCAGCGGACAGCCAGCATCAACTGACAGACAGCAAACAGCCTTCAGATGATTCCAACCCCAGACAGAGGCAAGCTATCCTGATGTGAGACAAGCTATCCTGAAGTGCCCTGTTTGAAATTCTGATCCACAACATCTGTGAACATAATCAATGGTTATTTTACCTGACTAAGTTTTGGGGTAATTTGTAACGTAGCCATAGTAACTGCAACACCGTCTCAGGAATTACAGTCTGGGCTGCCTGTTGTCCAATGCTGAAAATAGTTGCCTTATGTATTTTGTCTTGTGTTATTGTTGTAGGAGAGCTAGTCACCAAGCCAGGACTTTAATCTGAAGCTCTGTTCTCTAAAATAATGATAAGAATAGCAACACTGAGAGCAACTTCCTTTTACAGGCAGCTTTCTACGTACTAGGCATTGTGCTGGGCATTTTACATACATTATCTCAACGAGACCACACGACAATCTTGTGAAATAGGCATTATTAACCCCCATTGTACAGAGAAGGAAAAAGGTTCACAGAGGTTAAATGATTCACCAATGGTTTTGCACACAGGTCTGTCTGACGCTGGAGCCCATGCCGTTGACCACATACAGAAACACATATAGACATACCCCCCCACCAATTTGCATATATACACATATGTATGTACATGCATAGGCATATAGAGACACATCCCCATTAAGCATTTCCAGAGCTTTTTATGCTTTTAAAATATTTCTTGTTCTCAGAGTTAAAAATCCCTGTCCCCCAGATATATTACACAGGCTGAAAGAGACTCAATCTGCTAGACATTATGCTTCCCAAGCACACCCCAGGATGAAATTCCCTCCATCTGGGGCCAC